AACACAGTAGATATAACACAGTAGATCTACATTAGATATAACACAGTAGCTATAACACAGTAGATATAACACAGTAGATCTACAGTAGATATAACACAGTAGATATAACACAGTAGATTTACAGTAGATATAACACAATATATATTATACAGTAGATCTACAGTAGATATAACCTAGATGTTCAGTAATCATGACACGGGATATCATCATTAGTTATGAGTGCAGATATGATAAGCTATGTTGTCTGCAGTTACATGTTGAACATGTTGGACCTAGAGCTCCTTTAAAGATAACACTTAAAATCTTTGTACTTGTGTGATGAGACATTCTGTAGATTATATGAAGCTGACATATAAACCAGTGTATTATGTGTGAGTACTGTAGGTGTATAACAGGATACCCACACGCTGTCTGACACATACACATGTAAATGTTACAATTTTACTTCAAAACTCCACTTTCGCGGCACAAAATATACTTTAAATTGACTGCATTGGCAGCCATTTCCCATGATATTATCGTTTTAATTGTCAGTCTTGTATCCAGTTAGAAAGTATCAAATGGGTTGATTGTTTACCTGGAGGTATGCCTGCCTTCTCCATCTTCCTTTTATCAAGGTCACCAGCTTTATCATATACTCGGGTCATACACTTGTCTCCTTTCATCAGTCGGTGTGGACTACCTACACAGGTGTGTAAACCATGCAAGCTATTATAGAAATGTGTAACATATGTCTGGTTTGCTATAATGAATTAACAAACACCTTAACTCTCACCATGTACATTTCTATGATAACATTATGATGACTGTTTATTGATAGCTCGTATACACTCAAGTTTATTTTAGCAATAGAAATTACCCATTAGAAGTAGGATGTCTCGTCATCAAACTTGGTTGTCAACATTTAATCCTAGCAATCAAAGGAACCCATTAGAAATAGGATGTCATCAACAGATAACATATTGTGACGCCACACAATTACGTACAGTTACTATGCACCTGAAGATCTAATATAGTGAAAGCGCTAGTGCAAAATGTAACGTCTTTCTTCTTTTGTCAAAAATCATTTTTATTTATAATTTACTCGCATCTCGTCAAATCAAGTTTTTTCTATATATATATACATTGAGGTTAAGGAATGTACATGTATATACAGGTTGAAACAGGGATGTAAAATTCCTCGCAAATTAACAATTCATACCACATGTGTAAACTTTACAAAAATTGTCAGACATTCCACTCCCTTTTCTTAGATTTTCTGATTATTAATCATGATAAAAGAAGTCATGAGAGAAGACTTATATAGGCTCTAACCTGCTGTATAATCCTAATGGTTGTTTATATCAATCAAATATTCTGAAATGATAAATATGATAAGGGTGGAGATAACATGATAATAATGTATTAGCGTGCATTTTATTGTTGATGTTTAAATCTTATATGTTACAAATAGATATGAATTAATCCCATTCTAACGGGACATTACCTAATACAGATTTCAAGTTAATTACTATGTTTTCCTATTCTTTGTGTTTTCAATACCTGTTTTAAAAACAAAACAAAAAATACAATATGCTAGCTAAAACTTGCTCAGATTTTGCTGTGTGTCAAAATAGAATAAAATTATTTGATAGATAGTAGCAATGATCGCGTTGGTAGTATTTATCTCACCTGGTCTGAATTACCGTTGAACTTAGGCCCTACTCCTGCACCCCACAGGAGTACGGCTTGAGAGTGTAATTGACGTTTAGTCAGTTCATCCTTTCGTGTCCGGAGCATAACTTTGCTCAAAGTTAAACAAGGATCTTAAAGCCTGCTGTGTACATTGATCATTCTAAGACAACCATTTGTTATGATTCGATTATTCATTTGAGGTAAAAAAAAATGCCAACACGTCTACATAAGCATTATCCAAACTCATATTCAATAAAACTAGAGCAAAATATGAACAAATAAAAAATTCACAGAGACACTCCTGAGAAAGTACAAGGACAATAAGATCAGGTGTTCAGGAAGAGTAAGCGTCTTCTGCTTTATCGACGACACCCGTCATGTAAATCTTGGTCAATCCAAGTGAGTAATGCCACGTTCTCAAATTAAAAACGTAATCAACACCGGAACTACAAGGAATGCTGCTAATGAGCATTCTATGATAAATGTCATTTACTACATACATTTTACGGAAACTTTTTTTCTGATACGTAAAGCTTTGATTTACATATGTTTGTTGTGAAGCCAGTATACATCCCACCACGGGAAAATGGAATACTATCAGGATGCAATGATGATGATGATGATGATGATGATGATGATGATGATGATGATGATGATCAATGACAACACTTCATATACACTTATTAATAATTGTGAGACACATTTATTAAGGACTGATCGTTTAGAACCGTATTGTCACTATATCACATACCCTCACCCAATCACATTAATAATTTTAAAATCTTTAATATTGACACTAGAACCGACGCCATGCTGTGTTTAGAGTTGTAAGAGGTTTTGAACATGTATATATAAACAAAACATTGAAATCGTACAATGATGTCATTCGTGAGGGCTAGTGGTCAAAGAATCACTTTGGTTAGAATTATACATAGTAATTTTGAGGAGACATTTTAGGTATTGTCCAGGACACCTAAGGTCTCTGTATTTGTCCAGAGTAAGATTAGTGGGTGCCGTAAACTCCAGGTCATGGGAGTAAAACCGTCAATATTATATCTGACGACACGTCAAAAGGTGAACCATGAAGATAAGCGGAGTATAGTTTTGCTGTTTAGAAGGTCAATGTCGTTTTTATTTATTGACTATATAGCATAAGTCAAATATTATTATTGGTAGAAAGTAATTGACACAGAATCCAGGAAGTTCTTCAGGTTTGTGATCATTACAGAAACACCAGACTCCATCACTCTAATGTGTACAGCAATAAACCTTTACCAGATTATCTATATCTCTCTTTTCAGTCCACTGTGTCGGGGATGCCTATATCCTGATTATCATGTAGTCGGTTTGTACTATGTATATTGAAACTTACTTTATCTGTCATGCAAAGCACAACACTAGACAAATATTAATTATCTGGAAAGGAAATCTGATTGGATTTTTCAATATGATCAAAGAATATTCAAAAGTAAAGTATAAAGTTGTATATATGTGTTTTGTACAATCTTCGCTTGCTACGTTTTAATTCATGCGAACAGTGACACTTCAGAATATATACTTGTACTTGACATTGTTATAAAATCACCAGAAATATGAAAATTACGTTAATCATGAGGCTAGTGAAAATTATGGCCCTTAGCATTACTGACGAGACCTAGAAGGACGAAACAGCTGTATGATATAGCACCACTGACGAGTCCTAGAAGAACGAAACGGCTGTACGCTACGTTTTAGCATTCATGACGAACAGTGTACACTGACGAGTTCATCACTGACGAGACCTAGAATATATAGCATTGTCCTAGAAGGACTTATGACACGAGTCCTGAAGGACGAAACGGCTGTATGTAACATCACTGACGAGACCTAGAAGGACGAATATGTATGATAATCACTGACGAGTTAATCATGTATGATGTAGCTCACTGACGAAAAGGACGAAACATTATGATGTAGCATCACTGACGAGACCTAGAAGGACGAATCAGCTGTATGATATTGCATCACTGATGAGTCCTAGAAGGACGAAACAGCTGTATGATATAGCACCACTGACGAGTCCTAGAAGAACGAAACGGCTGTACGGTGTAACATCACTGACGAGACCTAGAAGGACGAAGCAGCTGTATGATATAGCATCACTGACGAGTCCTAGAAGGACGAAGCGGCTGTATGATGTAGCATCACTGACGAGTCCTAGAAGGACGAAACGGCTGTACGGTGTAACATCACTGACGAGACCTAGAAGGACGAATCAGCTGTATGATATTGCATCACTGACGAGTCCTAGAAGGACGAAACGGCTGTATGATGTAGCATCACTGACGAGTCCTAGAAGGACGAAACATCTATATGATGTAGCATCACTGACGAGACCTAGAAGGACGAATCAGCTGTATGATATTGCATCACTGATGAGTCCTAGAAGGACGAAACGGCTGTATGATGTAGCATCACTGACGAGTGCTAGAAGGACGAAACGGCTGTATGATGTAGATTAATTGATTGTTTGGCTCTACTGTATCTAACGTTAGATTATTAAAAGGTGCTATTCACTTATGTGTCTGCGTTTAATGTTGTATATCATCTTATTACTGGTAATTGAAATGCAAATTGTTTTAATTTTGAAGAAATGATAAGCACAGGCTAAGTGAGTATAAATGTTGTATTGTGTCCGTCTAAATTTCTATATCAAACTGATTACTATTACTTGTCAATAATCAGGTGACTTATAACAAGCTATCCAGTCAATAGTATCAACATACGAGTTTGACCATTGGAATGGGCTCGGTTTTCTTTACTTGGGTGTACCTATAAATAGGTTTCCTCGGGGTATGTGATGGATTGTTTTAGTTCTGTTATTGACAACAACTTTGTTACAACTGTAATTAAGACTATTTTTATTCATGTACAATGTTACATTCTGTGTAAAGATATACTGCTTACATACATATTTTAGCGGTACTATTATTTTAGCGCTTTTCGCAAAGAACGTGTGTTCGCTAATTAAATATTCTGTATAACGTTTATGTAGCAATTATTGCGAATGCGCAAATTCATCATTTCGCTAATTTGTTCTTATCATTATGCTTTGCGATTAAATAGATATGTACAACTATTTCAACATTATGTTAATTTGTTTTTATTATAATGATAGAGCGAAATATGCTAATTTCGTTATGCATTTCAACAATACGGGTGTCAATACACTGCCTTCATATCAGAAAAATGGGGCCGACATTGGCAATTCTGATAGAACCAATAAATATATCCATTGTTTCCGAGCTAGATTTCTATTTCAGTGACAACGTGGTAACTCCGTCAGACTAAGATGATATTATAGCTTTTCCCGTGTTGGCACCATCAAACAGCCCGACGAATGCTGTAGGCATGTTTTCAAAGCCCTTGTATATCGTTTCTTTGTACTTGATTTTTCCCTGAAGTTAACAAAAAATGTACGTAGGTGGAAGAAAGGCATATAAATTAACAAACTTCTGCTGACAACGACTTGCAATAGGAAGGACATGTAAATATGAATTAAGGATACAAATATATCGTAAGAACTTTTGTTATTATGATATTTTATTCGCAATTATGCTAAATTCAAGAGCATACATGATTTTAAAACGATCATTCGGATACATTCCCCTAATCTTTTTCGCCCACTGTTGAATTGCTTTTATTTAACCTTACTTTCGTTTTAATGAGAAAAAGGCGAAATTGGCGAGAAATACCCATTAACAGTATGCATTATTATAATTATATTATATTATATTATTATTATTATATGTTATAACTATTTTTTTTCACTTTAAGCGATGTTTTATCTTACTGATGATTATTACAGGTAAACAGATTAAATCACAGAGAGCGCTTAATAAGTGGTTTATTCAATATTAAGATACACTACTAATCGGGTGAAGTATTCACCTTAATCAAGATGTTTATTCTACCACTTTTACGTATGTCCAGAAGTATATCGAGTCTGAAAGAGCTATTATTTTTGCCCCAGTGTGTAAATATATATATATGCATATATCTGTCGGGATTCCCTTTTTTTGGGATAGCACACAATGGAGTGTATGGACCTGGTTATAATTGCTGTCTGGAGTGGAAGTGGTGGTATGGGACTAGTTGGTGTAACCATATCTTTTACTAATTAATGTTTAACATTTAACAAAATGATACTGATATGTATGTTGTGAAGTTTATAAAACAATATATAGATAATTAATGACTCTGTTACAAGTCTTAATGTTCCTAGCCAGTGTTAATATGACTATATTGTTGGATTTGTATATATTCCAAATAACAGGACTTGTGTAGGCATTGCCTGTTGACAAATTCCCGTTGAATCATTTTTCATTTAATAAAATATTTCAAATGAAATATTAAGATGCACACTCCCTGTCCATTAAGATGGTTGGTAATACCTTTCCCCGATAACTTGATATAATTTAACATTTCCCCATTGACAAACGTGATTTAGATATCTAGGCATACTACGCAATTCGAAAACTCACTTCTCTGATCCATTGTGCCATGTCTTTTTCTCCCTCAGCCCACCTTGGATACCACCGCAATACGATGAATCCTTCGACCTTAAGCTGTTTGGCAAGAATGTCCATGAACGGGTATACACCTAAGCAGAACATATTATGACAATGAAAGTATAGCATGTCACGGAGGCGGTGCGCAGACAAAGACAAGATATAACCGTCTACAAATATCGCGTCAACGAGGTTATACTGAAACATGCGGTAATTATATTAGTATGTTCTTATTACAGATCAAATTTTCCATACATTTCTTTGTGAATAACACTATGAAAAGCCAGCAATACAGTAATACAACCTCTTGGAGGCTCTTTATCGTTGTACATGGAAATCTGTCCACAGATTGACACTCGTCCAAACAACTTCATGTGTTTCAGTGCCGTAGATGTAAAATCGGCCCCAATCTACACCAAAATAAACAGTAATTAGGACAAGATTGTTACCATTCAAAAACAATACAAATTAGAAAGGACCATTCATTCACACAATTTTTCCCCAAATGCAAATGTAATTTGTATATTGCCGCATAAGTATCTATATAACAAACTTCCATCTTGTAATCCTCTCCTACCCACAATAAATTCATCTTCTCCACGTTTCTTTGAGATAAAGACTGTACAAAAGATGTACAATGAAATTTAAGATAAAACAGTGTAAAAATTGTACAATTAATTTTAAGATAAAGACAGTGCAAAAGTTGTACAATTAAATTTAAGATAAAGACAGTGCAAAAGTTGTACAATTAAATTTAAGATAAAGACAGTGTAAAAGTTGTACAATAAAATTTAAGATAAAGACAACGTAAAAGTTGTACAATAAAATTTCGAAATGTATAAAATGGCATTAGCTTCTCACATTGTCGAAGAAACAATCATAGCCATCTGGAGCGGCCGTTTTCAATGCTTCGGACAAATCCACCTTCTTGTAGTTGAAGACTTCATCGAAACCCAGCTCTTTCAGCCATTTGCATTTGTCTTCAGTTCCAGCACATCCCACCACTTTGCATCCCTTTAAAACAACACGTTTCAGAAATCGAGACAACATCAAACAATGCCAACCAACAACCCCTCTCCTCGATCTTAATCCTTAATACTGGCAATGATTAGATGTCATCTCGCCACTTTGCACTCCCAAATTAAAAAAAAAATACTTGAAACATCGATTTCAGATAGTTTTCAAACGTTAATGTTATGGTATAACCTAAGGAAAAGTTGATCTATCATATAAGGTAGTAACGATTGACCAACCTTGATTTTAGCGATTTGTCCGACAAGACTACCTACTGCCCCGGCAGCACCATTGACAAGTACCGTGTCCCCTTCCTTTGGTTGGCAAAGCTCCAGGAAACCAAAGTAAGCCGTCATACTGTTCACAACATAAACGACGAATCTCTTTAGATTCCTATATCTCTAACCTACAATTTCGTAGATAAATTGTTTCCCTAAGCTTTTAGACTTAAGTCAATGTGATAAATAGGGGTCCTACATGCGCTTCAATTCTTACAAGATTTATGAAACGAGTCTTGTAATTTTTCAAGTTAAATAAAAAAAAAGTGCAAGATTCTGTCTATTATCATAGACACTATTGCAAACACTCGTGAAAACAAATTGTATTTTGTTAAACTGATAAAAAAAATCGTATTACCGATAGTCTCCCTCTTTCTTTGGTGACGTGAAATGCTTATGACTCCACAAGTCATATGATGCCATCAAGTTATGATGTCACCCTACAAACAAGTTCCACTAAGTCATATTACCAATTATGCTACAGGTGTTATTATACTGATAAAAGCATAGTTGTATGATAAATCATAATCCAAACGCATATTACATAAAACTAAGACGAAATATTAACAAAAGAAGAATTACAAGGCGAATCCTAAAAAAGGTCAAGGCGATTAAGACCAGGTGTTTCGAAAGAGTAAGTGCATTCTGCTTCATTGACGGCACTGGTCAAACAATAGGTTTACAATAACGGAGACACAGACAAACTTACGAGCATCAAGCACGTGTCCAGCCTCATATCGCACAAAGAAATAGAATATTTCTCGATGAGATCGTTATGACGACAGTAAAACTTCACCATAATTTTCGTCAACGTAGAAGCATACCCCTTCCCCAATTATTTACACTGAGGAATTCCCAGAACCAAGAAAAATATCTTTATCTGTCTCTTATTCAAAGATATGATATTAGTTTATCAAAACTTGTTAGAGAAAATTAACTTATCAACGAGTTCTGTTGTGTATGAAAATATCAATATTGGGTGAAGTCAACACGATTTTGGTATGATTCTTGTGTCCGTCTTCTCAATTGACCAAACGCCGACTGTTGTTCTGAGGACCCACTGCTATTCCTGGATCAACACAACCAGTAATTATCCAAGTGTTTGGCATTTTCATCCTGTACATTTTCCTGAGATAGTCCCACACAAACTCGATTGGTTTCAAATGTTGTGAAATTGCACTGAATGTCTCACTCACTTCTTGTTGAAGGCAGTCTTGTACCAGACGGACTTTGGTAGTGCCAGGTATTAGGACAGGCCGATTGATGGGCATTGAAATGCGGAGCAAGTAAATGTCGAAGGATCTCTGAATATGATTCTTTTAACCATTTAAAGTTCCATCAAGGACATACAAGTGAAGTTTACAGTTAAGAAAACAGAATCTTTGAACAGAAAAAACGCCACCAGCAAATGCTGCAATGCCCACAATGTCATTCTGGAATTATGTTGTATTTCTCCAGACACAGTTTATGCCGTCTGTCCGATTAAGTGAAAAACGCCTTCTTAGACCAGTGGACTCTTTGCCAGAGCCTAATATTCCATGTCAGGTGATCACTTGCTGTCTTGTTTGTTAGTAACTTTCAGTCTACGTTTTACTGGTCGGCGAGCGCAAAGTCGCGTACTATTCAAACGTCTGTTGACGGTCTGTCAGCTAACACAAACCTGTTGGCAGTGGTGAATGGATGGGGTCAGAACAGAACTATATCTATCTGTAGTCTTTCGAGGTCTGTCAGACCTGAGCTGCTCGTCAATTTGCTCGTTTTGGTTATAACGCTGCATTAACCGAGAAATAACAGACTAGCTGACACTATAATGTGCAGCTACCTCCCTGTATGTTATAACACCTTAAACCATTTCAGAAGCTTCTCATCTCTCAGTATTTGTTAATTTTTGACGTACTGTTTTCAAATACAGTGTGGGCACATTTATGATTTACTAGTAATACATGTGGCAAAGCAAAAGTGTTAAATTAGAGTACGGGGTACCCTTGTTTAATCTGGGTTATCGTTATGTAACACAATTGGTGGCATACGGCACCAAACAAAAAAGGAGACAATGCAAGGAGTACGAAAAGGTCATGCTGAAATTGATGGTCTCTTACATATGTTCAAGTGTATAAATAATATGCATACCACAGAATTTTTTTTCACATCTGCCATCATGTCAGCAAATTTCTGACTGCAGCCAGAAGCTTGAATGATAAAAATCCCAAATTGGAATAACGACCCAAGTTCTTAGACTTACCCGTGTGGTAACCTGTACCTACCCTGGCATTAGCTAGATCGATCCGTATGGTAACCTATACCTACGCAGGCATTCCCTTGATCTACCCGTGTGTTAACCTGTACCTACGCTGGCATTCCCTAGATCTACCCGTGTGGTAACCTGTAACTACCCTGACATTCCCTAGACCTACCCGTGTGGTAGCCTGTACGTACCCTGACTTTCCCTACATCTACCCGTGTGGTAACCTGTACCTACCCTGACATTCCTTAGACCTACCCGTGTGGTAACCTGTACGTAACCTAGTATTCCCTAGATCTACCCTTGTGGTAACCTGTAGCTACCCTGGCATTCCCTAGATCTACCCGTGTGGTAACCTGTACCTAACCCCCTAGATCATTCCTGTACTATTCCCTAGATCTACCCTTGTAGTAACCTGTACCTAAACTGACATTCCCTAGATCTACCCGTGTGTGGTAACCTGGCATTCCCTAGATCTACCCTTGTGCATGTCCCATGGCATTCCCTAGATCTACCCTTGTGGTAACCTGCCTACCCTGATTCCCTTCATTTCAGGCATGCGTCCTAACATTCGCTGCTCTTGTTAACCTTTATAATCTTCCCTGTCTACCCGTGTGTGCCTACCATTCCCTAGATCTACACTTGTAGTAACCTGTACCTATCCTGGCATTCCCTAGGTCTACCCGTGTGGTAACCTTACCTACCCTGGCATTCCCTAGATCTACCCGTGTGGTAACATGTACCTACCCTGGCATTCCCTAGATCTACACTTGTGGTAACCTGTACCTAACCAAGTATTCCCTAGATCTGCGCTTGTGGTAACCTGTACCTACCCTGACATTCCCTAGATCTACATTTGTAGTAACCTGTACCTACCCTGACATTCCCTAGATCTACGGGACGGGACCCTGTTCCTTGCTGGCGATAACCTGTAAATAAGTAACATTTGTGCAGAATGGTAACCTTTTGTTCCCTGACAGAGTGAACATTACCTGGCATTCCCTACATTGTGGTACATTTCATTGTGGTAACCTGTACCTCCCTGACATTCAGTTACAGTAGGTAATATAACCTGACTAAGAAACAAACCAATACAGAGTAAGTAAAATATATTGAATTAGTAGAAACCTATTGCTGTTATGGTGATGAGATAATCTACCCGTGTGGTAATGAAGGTCACAAAAACATACCAAAGCAGAGTAAGTACCTAATTTATTCCCTAGGAGAGAACCTGTACCTGCTGTTATGGTGGTGAGAGAGCTAACCCGTAGTAATGAGGGCCACAAAAACAAATAAATACAGAGTAAGTTAAATATATTGAATTAGAGAAGTGCTATTGCTGTTATGGTGGTAGAGAGCTAACTCGCTATAATCTGAGGGCCACAAAAACAAATAAATACAAGTAAGTTAAATATATTGAATTAGAGAAATATTGCTGTTATGGTGGTATTCAGAGAGAGACATAATCGTAACCAACTAGAAGGTAATATAACCTGACTAAGAAACAAACCAAAGCAGAGTAAACAAAACATATTGAATTAGAGAAATATTGCTGTTGTGGTGGTGAGAGAGCTAACGTAGAATGAAGGCCACAAAAACAAACCAATACAGAGCAAGTAAAATATATTGAATTAGAGAAGTATTGCTGTTATGGTGGTGAGAGTAATAATGTAGAATGAATGCCACAAAAACAAACAAATACAGAGTATGGTAAGGAATCTACGAGACAACGAGATAATTAACACATATATGTTGTATGGTTGTGAAATAGCCTTATATTATCATGTAGCATGATATCAATACTGTAAACACCAATTAACACCGATATACATAACGCAAACGATGCTATATAGAACCACTATTATTTATAATAAAACATAAACTTTGGAATATAAATTGGATTTCATTTAATGTTTTCTGAAGATCCTTTCTGTCAATGTTTTTAGCAATTTACCAGCACATCTTACTTGGCTATCTGTTCTCCTGGCATGCATTGATTGCGTTCCACATTTCCCACCTCACGTGTCCTGTGAAAATGAAGAAATGGCATAGACTATATATCAATTATATAAAAAATACAAATTTATACTGAATTATATCTCAATATTTTCTTGATTATCAAGAAAACCATTTATATGTAAATCGTTTGGTGATGAAAAAATACCGAAGCCACTTTTCCTTCTTTGCAAATCATAAACTTATTGTAAATTATATGATCACATTAGCTTATGCAACAAATACCCCTTTAAGAACAAATCATATCACCTACTGCACTGCCCAGTAGATAATGAAGGACCATGAATAAAGATTTATTCATTATGGGTATCATTCCCTGTAGATTTTCCTGGGAATAAAGAATGTCGGGAAGATGATAAAGTTTCGTGATTGTAGAGAGAACAAATGCACAGTATAAGTGAATTTATTTTAGATAATGTTACCTCATGTACGGATCCACCGTCCAGTGAAGTGCTTCTATAAGGTACTCTGTAAAAAATGATCAAACATCAGATTTAGTGCGGGTTAATAAAACACCCGAATCCATAAAAAGTCGAACACAGCGGCTTTTATGATCATACCGCGACACTTAAAGTGCTTTGTACCTTGGATACACTTCTCGCCGAATACCAAGGTGAGGCTTAAACTTCTATCATGGCGTACTCAAGAAAAAAAATATGTATGCAATGTAACGCTGGGAAATGTGTTGTTGCTTGGACACTCTTCTCGCCGAATACCAAGGTGAGATTTAAACTGTCTTCTTGAAATTCTAAAAACAATACCTGTGTATTGTGACATATCTATTGTTCTACAGTCCCGTTAAAATTGTTTTTGTTACTTGTCTAAAAAAAGACAGCATTCCATGAAGATGCTTAAAAGATGCGATTTCAATGTCCCTGTTGTAATTTTTTTGTATGTATATATACAAAGGCATATATGTTTTTTATGTTTGAAATACAGTCAAACATGTCCAATCAAGGGAGAAAAGTGGCCTTTATACACAGGTAGCCGTAATATAGAGGTTCAAGTACTATTAATTGCATTACATAGAAAACCAAAAAAGTGACCTTAATTCGGTGTGAAAATGCAAATACGGATTTCGCACTCATGCCGGATACAAACATTTGTGCGTGTACAGACAGAACGAACAATCATACATAATGTAGGAATTACGGACAAAAGAAAGTCCCTACAAGCTCGAAACCACAGGTCGCTTTGTTAACTAACACGTGGTCCTGTTTCTAGTCCACAGAAACCACTTACACAGTATCTCGATATGGCCATGGGTGACATGTTTGTTCATTAATTTACACCACTATAGAAAAAAATAAAAATAAGTTTAATAATGTGGTCCTTCATGTCTTTGGTTTTAGACATATTTTTGAACTGGGTTGGAGATAAGTCTCGCATCTGTCTACAAACCATTTTTTTTTTAAAGAAATCGGAGTATTTTGTAATCGTGATGCTCATTTTAAGCACAATCACTCAGAAATAGATGTCATTTGAATGAGAAGTTTTAGGTAAAAAATATTGATATCTTAGCATTTGTTATATTGTTTATGAATACATATACGTGTAATGGCGTACTTTTCATGACTAATCTGCTGTACCCGTGCATCTCAAAATTGACTTTTTTATTGCAAATTTTCTAGCTACTGCATGTTTGGAAGGGTGTAACTTCGGATCAAATTCCATCTCAATTTAACCGTTTAATACACCGTGATTAAATTTCATGTGGTTAATGCAGAGATAAAATTGAATGTTAACTACTGGAGGGGGGCTTCAATGGTAAAGACTGACTGTCTTTGTCACTACCCCTTTACCTCTGGGTCCAAGGCCTACGTTGGTAAGGGACTTGTAGCAGGTCGGTGGATTTTCATCAGAAACTCAGGCTTTCCTCCCTCACTAAACCCTAACACATTTTTAAATGACCTTAAATGACCCTGGTTGTTTATAGGTCGGAAAGTCAAATTTTAGCTTCTGTAAAACATTCATTTTCGTGGGGGAATTATTTTCGTTGATATCGCTGGAACTCTTAACTCACCAATTCATGTCTATGGACTGTAAGGTAAGTGGAAGTAAAATTTGAAGTATATTTTCCCATGAAATCAATTAGCATGGCACATTTTTAAAAAGGCACTCACACAAATTAGTCCCACGATAATATGTTTTTACACAATGTTTTCTTTGTACAATCAACTGAATTCCAACCCGCTGTTATCAATGTTATAAATCAAATACTTCAGTATATTGCCGGGCCATTAGATAAGTGTTTGGGGATCTTTCACCATACCTAAGTTAACAAGTAGAGCGAACCTTTACACATTCTGACTTGATCCATACAATTTCCATGAAAAACTTTTACCTATCACCGTGTTTTTCATATATTAATTTCATGTTTTTATTTGCATTTTAAACTATGATAAAGTTTCCAGACCTCATTTACAGCAAACCTCTTCTAAAAGATCAGCACGATGTTTCTGTTGTTGACATAATGGTATCTTTTATATAAGGCAATCTGGTTTTAGTGACGGTTGAATCCAGCTGTTGACAATGTCGATGTACGGAAATAATCTATGAAACTCCCAATATAGAGAGCTGAAACCAACACAGTCCATTGTAACCTCACTATCAAAAAAGTCGACTGTGATTTAGTCAGACATGTTTAACCCAAGTCGACTTCTTTAAGGTGTCTTTGTTGTATGCCGTCTGCTAGACAGGTTGTCCTGATTTAGCAATGACATCTTAACAATGGTTAATAAACTGGTCTTTCAGGTGAAGGTCGTCACAAATACAAGCCGTCTACCGTCCTATCTGTATTTACAATTTATCTTACATGCCCAAACTCAAATAGGAGGTCAGACCTTCGTCGATGTAGCAGTGATGTAAACAATTATTACAGTGAATTTTTGTGAATCCTACCATTCCACACATGAAATAGAAGGTATATGTACGTTGTCAATAAGAACAACCGTTATAGATACAATTACAAGCAACCATACCACCATCTTTTAGGTCGTCCGAAACCTCCTCCTCCACAAGATGGAAATCGGACGTTTGCACTTTCCCATCAAACTTCCTTTTCGGGGTCCAAACTTTGCTTTTCACCATTTTGTTAAACGAAGCGATGAAAGTAGGGGTCACATAGTCTTCACGTAATACGTCGTGCTACACTGTAGATGACTTCGGTCTCCAACTATAACGACGGGGCCTTAATGATAAAACACCACCCGTACGTTTAAGGTACACAGAAGGGGTTATCGTGTCAGTGCGACGCGTATAGGTAAACATGCTCTGATAATCCCTTCCAGTTTTAATCATCGTTGTCGCTTCTTATTACTGCATTAATATTATGATAAATCATATATCACAGAATTGTCAGTTCTGTTATAATGTAGAAACAATCGATCATTGTCCTCAACATAATGATAACGTATTTGAAAACTATAGAATTCTACAACAAAATATAACATCAGACACAATACTAAACACTAAATTACAAAGAAGATGGTGTAGGATTTGGAGACTCGGGCCCATATCTAGGTCACTGTAAAGGACTCAGTAGGATTCTCCTCCAATTACCTGAACCCTGTACTAGGTGTAGGCGTGACTGGTCCATGGGACTTGTGATAGTGTCAGAGTATACAATTAATTTAAGGCATTAGACGGACTTCAAAATTACTCTTACACAAACCAAAGACCAAAAAGGATTGAACTGGTCACCTTGTTGAATCATAAAATCAATTCCAGTTGAAATCCTATTCCTCATACATGCTTCTACACAAATGCAATAACCCAGGAGCTGTTGCAGAGGAGAAATTTGAAGTGTGACTTGAAAGTAAGCCAAAGTCTACTTCTGGTATTTAAGTCATCTGTGGTCAAGATGATTCGTCCACCGTGTGTCGTGCGTAAACTTTTTCTTTAAAATCCTACTCATCTGTCATACCTTGGTGGATTTCAACGAAATTTTGTCTGAGGCATCGTAAGATGAGGGTAACCATTTGTTAAATTCAGAATTTGGATTCGACTCTTAACTTTGGCCTGATTCACCAGAGAGTGTAGTCAACTATTTCTCAAATTTAGAAATTTTGTTCGACCACTAGGGACCTAAAAAGGGAAATTAGACAAATTTAGACAAACAAGACAAATTAAGAAGCAGTAACGTTTTGAAGTTTGCTTCAAAACGTTACTGCTTCTTAATGTCTGGGTAGATTACAACCAAATGTGGTCTACAACAATATAGCAGCAGGGTAATCATTTCTCAAATTCAGAAAGTTAATTCGACCCTAGGGACCTTGGGCAGGGCCCAAAATGGGAAAATCAGTCGATAATTGTGCTGCAAAACGCTTAATACTTGCATGAATTTCAATCAAACATTGCACGAAATATCATTGTGGGAATTCATCAGATTTGTCAGGCCACCATATACAAATTCTGTGGCAATGACAATTAAGAGCCATGGCCCTCGTGTTAAGAACAAGTTCCTTGAAACTTTAAGCACATTTGACTCCTGTGACGTTGAAAGTAGGCCAATGTTATTCATTTTAACAAGAGTGTGAGCTCTTTATACCAGCATGCTACAGGTTAAATATCAGTACTCTGGGATTCTTGGTTATTGTGAAAATTTGGTCGGATGACCGTTAAGGCCCATGAACCTCTTGTTTGTATGAACAATACTTGAAACAACATGTGCTTCCGACTACTAAAACATCGTGTTAACAATCAAAATAAAGACAATGGTTCTCGTAATAAAACGATTGTTATTACAATTTTATTTTATTTTGCAACTTTCATTGAGTTTTACAAAGCAACTGACTATAACTGTACATCTAAAACCTTAGGTAGCCATACACATGATATTTGTTGGTGTTTGATTGGCCAAAATTTAGATTTTTCCTAATTAAACTCCCCAAACTTATGCTGTTTACGGATCGCTGTTGAATCTTAATCTTGTTCCAGATATCAGAATGTGCGTACACGATGTCGGCAACTCGGAGACAAACTCACAGCATGGGATTTCGAAAGTCGCCAGTTCATGAAGATTGTGGTGAAGTTTTATGATCATAATGATCTCATTGGACAACACCTATTCTGTTTTATTCTGTGATATGAAGTTGAACATGTTTGATGCTTGATAGTATATCTCGTGATTTCTCGCTTGCCCTTTCGGAACCCTTGGTCTTATACTCTACTTTTTCAAGAATCTCCTTATTTTCTTTTTTACATTGAATTTAGACAGTATTAAGCGTTTTGCAGCACAATTATCGACTGATTTTCCCATTTCGGGAATCTACCCAGGCATTAAGAAGCAGTAACGTTTTGAAGCAAACCATTGTCTAATTTCCCTTTTTAGGTCCCTAGTGGTCGAACAAAATTTCTAAATTTGAGAAATAGTTGACTACACTCTCTGGTGAATCAGGCCAAAGTTAAGAGTCGAATCCAAATTCTGAATTTAACAAATGGTTACCCTCATCTTACGATGCCTCAGACAAAATTTCGTTGAAATCCACCACGGTATGACAGATGAGTAGGATTTTAAAGAAAAAGTTTACGCACGACACACGGTGGACGAATCATCTTGACCACAGATGACTTAAATACCAGAAGTAGACTTTGGCTTACTTTCAAGTCACACTTCAAATTTCTCCTCTGCAACAGCTCCTGGGTTATTGCATTTGTGTAGAAGCATGTATGAGGAATAGGATTTCAACTGGAATTGATTTTATGATTCAACAAGGTGACCAGTTCAATCCTTTTTGGTCTTTGGTTTGTGTAAGAGTAATTTTGAAGTCCGTCTAATGCCTTAAATTAATTGTATACTCTGACACTATCACAAGTCCCATGGACCAGTCACGCCTACACCTAGTACAGGGTTCAGGTAATTGGAGGAGAATCCTACTGAGTCCTTTACAGTGACCTAGATATGGGCCCGAGTCTCCAAATCCTACACCATCTTCTTTGTAATTTAGTGTTTAGTATTGTGTCTGATGTTATATTTTGTTGTAGAATTCTATAGTTTTCAAATACGTTATCATTATGTTGAGGACAATGATCGATTGTTTCTACATTATTACAGAACTGACAATTCTGTGATATATGTTTTATCATAATATTAATGCAGTAATAAGAAGCATGTATATATAGTAGATAACGAATACAGGACAGTATGTTGACATAAGAATTTACCTATACGCGTCGCACTGACACGATAACCCCTTCTGTGTACCTTAAACGTACGGGTAGTGATTTTATCATTCAGGCCCCGTCGTTATAGTTAGAGACCGCAGTCACCTACAGTGTAGCACGACGTATTACGTGAAGACTCTGTGACCCCTACTTTCATCGCTTCGTTTAACAAAATGGTGAAAAGCAAAGTTTGGACCCTGAAAAGGAAGTTTGATGGGAAAGTGCAAACGTCCGATTTCGATCTTGTAGAGGAGGAGGTTTCGGACGACCTAAAAGATGGTGGTATGGTTGCTTGTAATTGTATCTATAACGGTTGTTCTTATTGACAACGTACATATACCTTCTATTTCATGTGTGGAATGGTAGGATTCACAAAAAATCACTGTAATAATTGTTTACATCACTGCTACATCGACGAAGGTCTGACCTCCTATTTGAGTTTGGGCATGTAAGATAAATTGTAAATACAGATAGGACGGTAGACGGCTTGTATTTGTGACGACCTTCACCTGAAAGACCAGTTTATTAACCATTGTTAAGATGTCATTGCTAAATCAGGACAACCTGTCTAGCAGACGGCATACAACAAAGACACCTTAAAGAAGTCGACTTGGGTTAAACATGTCTGACTAAATCACAGTCGACTTTTTTGATAGTGAGGTTACAATGGACTGTGTTGGTTTCAGCTCTCTATATTGGGAGTTTCATAGATTATTTCCGTACATCGACATTGTCAACAGCTGGATTCAACCGTCACTAAAACCAGATTGCCTTATATAAAAGATACCATTATGTCAACAACAGAAACATCGTGCTGATCTTTTAGAAGAGGTTTGCTGTAAATGAGGTCTGGAAACTTTATCATAGTTTAAAATGCAAATAAAAACATGAAATTAATATATGAAAAACACGGTGATAGGTAAAAGTTTTTCATGGAAAATTGTATGGATCAAGTCAGAATGTGTAAAGGTTCGCTCTACTTGTTAACTTAGGTATGGTGAAAGATCCCCAAACACTTATCTAATGGCCTGGCAGTATACTGAAGTATTTGATTTATAACATTAAAAACAGCGGGTTGGAATTCAGTTGATTGTACAAAGAAAACATTGTGTAAAAACAAATTATCGTGGGACTAATTTGTGTGAGTGCCTTTTTAAAAATGTGCCATGCTAATTGATTTCATGGGAAATTATACCTCAAATTTTACTTCCACTTACCTTACAGTCCATAGACATGAATTGGTGAGTTAAGAGTTCCAGCGATATCAACGAAAATAATTCCTCCACGAAAATGAATGTTTTACAGAAGCTAAAATTTGACTTTCCGACCTATAAACAACCAGGGTCATTTAAGGTCATTTAAAAATATGTTAGGGTTGGGTGATTGAGGAAAGCCTGAGTTTCTGATGAAAATTCACCGACCTGCTACAAGTCCCTTACCAACGTAGGCCTTGGACCCAGAGGTAAAGGGGTAGTGACAAAGACAGTCAGAGGTCTTTACCATTGAAGCCCCCCTCCAGTAGGTAACATTCAATTTTATCTCTGCATTAACCACATGAAATTTAATCACGGTGTATTAAACGGTTAAATTGAGATGGAATTTGATCCGATGTTACACCCTTCCAAACATGCAGTAGCTAGAAAATTTGCCTGAAAAAGTCAGTTTTGAGATGCACGGGTACGGCAGATTAGTCATGAAAAGTACGCCATTACACGTATATGTATCCATAAACAATATAACAAATGTTGTAATATTTCTGAGTGCTTGTGCTTAAAATGAGCGTCACGATTACAAAATACTCCGATTTCTTTAAAAAAAAATTGGTTTGTAGACAGATGCGAGACTTATCTCCAACCCAGTATAAAAATATGTTTAAAACCAAAGACATGAAGGACCACATTATTAAACTTATTTATATTTTTTTCTATAGTGGTGTAAAATAATGAACAAACATGTCACCCATGGCCATATCGAGATACTGTGTAAGTGGTTTCTGTGGACTAGAAACAGGACCACGTGTAAGTAAACAAAGCGACCTGTGGTTTCGAGCTTGTAGGGACTTTCTTTTGTCCGTAATTCCTTTTTTTCGTTCGTTCTGTCTGTACACGCACAAATGTTTGTATCCGGAAGGAGTGCGAAATCCGTATTTGCATTTTCACACCGAATTAAGGCCACTTTTTTGGTTTTCTATGTAATGCAATTAATAGTACTTGAACCTCTATATTACGGCTACCTGTGTATAAAGGCCACTTTTCTCCCTTGATTGGACATGTTTGACTGTATTTCAAACATAAAAAACATATATGCCTTTGTATATATACATACAAAAAAATTATAACAGGGACATTGAAATCGCATCTTTTAAGCATCTTCATGGAATGCTGTCTTTTTTTAGACAAGTAACAAAAACAATTTTAACGGGACTGTAGAACAATAGATATGTCACAATACACAGGTATTGTTTTCAGAATTTCAAGAAGTCAGTTTAAATCTCACCTTGGTATTCGGCGAGGAGAGTGCCCAAGCAACAATTCATTTCCCAGCGTTACATTGCATACATATTTTTTTTCTTGAGCACGCCATGATAGAAGTTTAAGCCTCACCTTGGTATTCGGCGAGAAGTGTATCCAAGGTACAAAGCACTGTAAGTGTCGCGGTATGATCATAAAAGCCGCTGTGTTCGACTTTTTATGGATTCGGGTGTTTTATTAACCCGCACTAAATCTGATGTTTGATCATTTTTTACAGAGTACCTTATAGAAGCACTTCACTGGACGGTGGATCCGTACATGAGGTAATATTATCTAAAATAAATACACTTATACTGTGCATTTGTTCTCTCTACAATCACGAAACTTTATCATAATGAATAAATCTATATTCATGGTCCTTCATCATCTACTGGGCAGTGCAGTAGGTGATATGATTTGTTCTTAAAGAGGTATTTGTTGCATAAGCTAATGTGATCATATAATTTACAATAAGTTTATGATTTGCAAAGAAGGAAAAGTGGCTTCGGTATTTTTTCATCACCAAACGATTTACATATAAATGGTTTTCTTGATAATCAAGAAAATATTGAGATATAATTCAGTATAAATTTGTATTTTTTATATAATTGATATATAGTCTATGCCATTTCTTCATTTTCACAGGACACGTGAGGTGGGAAATGTGGAACGCAATCAATGCATGCCAGGAGAACAGATAGCCAAGTAAGATGTGCTGGTAAATTGCTAAAAACACATAGACAGAAAGGATCTTCAGAAAACATTAAATGAAATCCAATTTATATTCCAAAGTTTATGTTTTATTATAGATAATAGTGGTTATACATAACATCGTTTGCGTTATGTATATCGGTGTTAATATCATGCTACATGATAATATAAGGCTATCTAACAACCATACAACATGTCTGTGTTAATTATCTCGTTGTCTCGTAGATTCCTTACCTTACTCTGTATTTATTTGCTTTTGTGGCCCTCATTCTACGTTAGCTCTCTCACCACCATAACAGCAATACTTCTCTAATTCAATATATTTAACTTACTCTGTATTTATATGTTTTTGTGGCCTTCATTTTACATTAGCTCTCTCACCACCATAACAGCAATACTTCTCTAATTCAATATATTTAACTTACTCTGTATTTATTTGTTTTTGTGGCCCTCATTCTACGTTAGCTCTCTCACCACCATAACAGCAATACCATTCTCTAATTCAATATATTTAACTTACTCTGTATTTATTTGTTTTTGTGGCCCTCATTCTACGTTAGCTCTCTCACCACCATAACAGCAATACTTCTCTAATTCAATATATTTAACTTACTCTGTATTTATTTGTTTTTGTGGCCCTCATTCTACGTTAGCTCTCTCACCACCATAACAGCAGTACTTCTCTCCTTCTATAAATTTATCTTACTCTGCTTTGGTATGTTTTTGTGACCTTCATTCCACATTATTACTCTCATCACCATAACAGCAATGTTTCTCTAATTCAATATATTTTACTTACTCTGTATTGGTTTGTTTCTTAGTCAGGTTATATTACCTTCTGTAACGTTGTTCGACGATGAAATGTCAATCACATCTCAGCTGAATATCTCACTCTGTCAAACAAAAAAGAAACCATTCTGCACAAATCTACTTATTTACAGAGTTATCGCCAGCAAGAACTCCTCCCGTCCCGTAGGCAGTATCGTTCGTGTGTTCGCGGGATGGCGCACTCACACAAAGATTATAAACGAACAAGAGCAGCGAGTTGGACGCATGCCTGAAATGAACGATCTGCCTTTATCCTTGGCTCTGGGAACCATGGGAATGCCAGGGTAGCTACAGGTTACCACACACGGGTAGATCTAGGGAATGTCAGTATAGGTACATGTTACCACACGGGTAGATCTAGGGAATGTCAGTTTAGGTACAGGTTACTACAAGTGTAGATCTAGGGAATGTCAGGGTAGGTACAGGTTACTACAAGTGTAGATCTAGGGAATGTCAGGGTAGGTACAGGTTACCACAAGTGTAGATCTAGGGAATGTCAGGGTAGGTACAGGTTACCACACGGGTAGATCTAGGGAATGCCAGGGTAGGTACAGGTTACCACACGGGTAGATCTAGGGAATGCCAGGGTAGGTACATGTTACCACACGGGTAGATCTAGGGAATGCCTGCGTAGGTACAGGTTACCACACGTGTAGATCTAGGGAATGCAAGGGTAGGTACAGGTTACCACACGGGTTGATATAAGAACTTGGGTCGTTATTCCAATTTGGGATTTTTATCATTCAAGCTTCTGGCTGCAGTCAGAAATTTGCTGACATGAGGGCAGATGTGAAAAAAAATTCTGTGGTATGCATACTATTTATACACTTGGACATATGTAAGATACCATCAATTTCAGTATGACCTTGTCGTACTCCTTGTATTGTCTCCTTTTTTGTTTGGTGCCGTAAGCCACCAAGGGTGTTACATCATACATAACGATAACCCAGATCAAACAAGGGTACCCCGTACTCTAATTAAACACTTTTGCTTTGCCACATGTATTACTAGTAAATCATAAATGTGCCCAAACTGCATTTGAAAACGGTACGTCAAAAATTGACAAATACTGAGAGATGAGAAGCTTCTGAAATGGTTTAAGGTGTTATAACATACAGGGAGGTAGCTGCACATGATATTGTCAGCTAGTCTGTTATTTCTCGGTTAATGCAGCGTTATAACCAAAACGAGCAAATTGACGAGCAGCCCAGGTCTGACAGACCTCGAAAGACTACAGATAGATATACTTCTGTTCTGACCCCATCCATTCACCACTACCAACAGGTTCGTGTTAGCTGACAGACCGTCAACAGACGTTTGAACACGCTCGCCGACCAGTTAATCGTCGACTGGAAGTCATAAACAAACAAGACAGTAAGTGATCACCTGACATGGAGTATTAGGCTCTGGCAAAGAGTCCACTGATCTAAGAAGGCGTTTTTCACTTAATCGGACAGACGACATAGTCTGTGTTTGGAGACCAAGAAATACAACATACTACAACAGTCATACTCTGGTATAGCAGCATTTGATGGTGAGGGTGTTACTGTTCAAAGATTCTTTTTTCTTAACTGTAAACTTCACTTGTATGTCCTTGATGGAACTTTAAATGGTTAGAAGAATAATAATCAGAGATCCTTCGACATTTAGTTGCTCCGCATTCCAATGCCCATCAATCGACCAGTCCTAATACCTGGCAATACCAAAGTTCGTCTAGTACAAGACTGCCTTCAACAAGAAGTGAGAGAGACATTCACATGTCCTGCAACTTCGCAACATTTGAAACCAATCGAGCTTGTGTGGGACTATCTCAGGAAAATGTACAGGATGAAAATGCCAAACACTTGGATAATTACTGGTTGTGTTGATCCAGGAATAGCAGTGGGTCCTAAGAACAACAGTCGGCGTCTGGTCAATTGAGAAGACGGACTCAAGAATCATACCAGAATCGTGTTGACTTTACCCAATATTGATATTTTCATACACAACAGAACTCGTTGATAAGTTAATTTTCTCTAACAAGTTTTGATAAACTTATGACATATCTTTCAATAAGAGACAGATAAAGATATTTTTTCTTGGTTCTGGGAATTCCTTAATGTAAATATTTGGGGAAGGGGTATGCTTTTACGTTGACGAAGATTATGGTGAAGTTTTACTGTCGTCATAACGATCTCATCGAGAAATATTCTGTTTCTTTGTGCGATATGAGGCTGGACGCGTGCTTGATGCTCGTAAGTGTGTCTGTGTCTCCGTTATTGTATACCTTGTTCTCATTTGAGAATATGACATTACTTACTTGGATTGACCAATATTTACGTGACCAGTGTCGTAAATGAAGCAGAATGCACTTACTCTTTCGAAACACCTGATCTTGATCGCCTTGACCTTTTTTAGGATTCGCCTTGTAATTCTTCTTTTGTTAATATTTCGTCTTAGTTTTATGTAATATGCGTTTGGATTATGATTTATCATACAACTATGCTTTTATCAGTATAATAACACCTGTAGCATAATTGGTAATATGACTTAGTGGAACTTGTTTTTAGGGTGACATCATAACTTGATGGCATCATATGACTTGTGGAGTCATAAGCATTTCACGTCACCAAAGAAAGAGGGAGACTATCGGTAATACGATTTTTTTATCAGTTTAACAAAATACAATTTGTTTTCACGAGTGTTTGCAATAGTGTCTATGATAATAAACAGAATCTTACATATTTTTCATTTAACTTGAAAAATTACATAAATCTCGTAAGATTTGAAGCGCATGTAGGACCCCTATTTATCACATTGACTTAAGTCTAAAAGCTTAGGGAAACAATTTATCTACGAAATGGTAGGTTAGAAATATAGGAATCTAAAGAGATTCGTCGTTTATGTTGTGAACAGTATGACGGCTTACTTTGGTTTCCTGGAGCTTTGCCAACCAAAGAAAGGGGACACGGTACTTGTCAATGGTGCTGCCGGGGCAGTAGGTAATCTTGTCGGACAAATCGCTAAAATCAAGGTTGGTCAATCGTTACTACCTTATATGATAAATCAACTTTTCCTTAAGCTATACCATAACATGAACGTTTGAAAACTATCTGAATTCGATGTTTCAAGTATTTTTTTTTTAATTTGGGAGTGCAAAGTGGCGAGATGACATCTCATCATTGCCAGTATTAAGGATTAAGATCGAGGAGAGGGGTGGTTGGTTGGCATTGTTTGATGTTGTCTCGATTTCTGAAACGTGTTGTTTTAAAGGGATGCAAAGTGGTGGGATGTGCTGGAAATGAAGACAAATGCAAATGGCTGAAAGAGCTGGGTTTCGATGAAGTCTTCAACTACAAGAAGGTGGATTTGTCCGAAGCATTGAAAACGGCCGCTCCAGATGGCTATGATTGTTTCTTCGACAATGTGAGAAGCTAATGCCATTTAATACATTTTGAAATTTTATTGCACAACTTTTACACTGTCTTTATCTTAAATTTTATTGTACATATTTTATACAGTCTTTATCTCAAAGAAACGTGGAGAAGATGAATTTATTGTGGGAAGGAAATGATTACAAGATGGAAGTTTGTTATATAGATACTTATGCGGCAATATACAAATTACCGTAATTTGCATTTGGGGAAAAATTGTGTGAATGAATGGTCTTTTCTAATTTGTATTATTTTTAAATGGTCACAATCTTGTCCTAATTACTGTTTATTTTGGTGTAGATTGGGGCCGATTTTACATCTACGGCACTGAAACACATGAAGTTGTTTGGACGAGTGTCAATCTGTGGACAGATTTCCATGTACAACGATAAAGAGCCTCCAAGAGGTTGTATTACTGTATTGCTGGCTTTTCATAGTGTTATTCACAAAGAAATGTATGGAAAATTTGATCTGTAATAAGAACATGGTATATATACTAATATAATTACCGCATGTTTCAGTATAACCTCGTTGACGCGATATTTGTACACGGTTATATCTTGTCTTTGTCTGCGCACCGCCTCGGCGACATGCTATACTTTCATTGTCGTAATATGTTCTGCCTAGGTGTATACCCGTTCATGGACATTCTTGCCAAACAGCTTAAGGTCGAAGGATTCCTCGTATCGCGGTGGTATCCAAGGTGGGCTGAGGGAGAAAAAGACATGGCACAATGGATCAGAGAAGTGAGTTTTTGAATTGCGTAGTATATCTAGATATCTAAATCACGTTTGTCAATTGGGAAATAATAAATTATATCAAGTTATCGGGGAAAGGTATTACCAACCATCTTAATGGACAGGAAGTGTGCATCTTGATATTTCATTTGACATATTTTATTAAATGAAAAATGATTCAACGGGAATTTTGTCAACAGGCAATGCCTACACAAGTCCTGTTCGTTGGAATATATACAAATCCAACAATATAGTCATATTAACACTGGCTAGGAACATGAAGACTTGTAACAGAGTCATTAATTATCTATATATGGTTTTAAAAACTTCACAACATTCCTATCAGTATCATTGTGTTAAACATTAATTAGTAAAAGATATAGTTACAACAACTAGTCCCATACCACCACTTCCACTCCAGACAGCAATTATAACCAGGTCCATACACTCCATTGTGTGCTAGCCCAAAAAAGGGAATCCTGGACAGATATATGCATATATATATATATATATATACACACTGGGGCAAAAATAATAGCTCTTTCAGACTCGATATACTTGTGGACATACGTAAAAGTGGTAGAATAAACATCTTGATTAAGGTGAATACTTCATCCGTTTAATAGTGTATCTTAATATTGAATAGACCACTTATTAAGCGCTCTCTATGATTTAATCTGTTTACCTGTAATAATCATCAGTAAGATAAAACATCGCTTAAAGTGAAAAAAAATAGTTATAACATATAATAATAATAATGATATAATATAATATAATAATGTTAGACAATGAGTCGTCGGATGAGGAAACATAATATCGTAACATGCATACTGTTAATGGGTATTTCTCGCCAATTTCGCCTTTTTCTCATTAAGACGAAAGTAAGGTTAAATAAAAGCAATTCAACAGTGGGCGAAAAAGCTTAGGGGAATGTATCCGAATGATCGTTTTAAAATCATGTATGCTCTTGAATTTAGCATAATTGCGAATAAAATATCATAATAACAAAAGTTCTTACGATATATTTGTATCCTTAATTCATATTTACATGTCCTACCTATTGCAAGTCGTTGTCAACAGAAGTTTGTTAATTCATATGCCTTTCTTCCACCTACGTACATTTTTTATTAACTTCAGGGAAAAATCAAGTACAAAGAAACGATATACAAGGGCTTTGAAAATATGCCTACAGCGTTCGTCGGGCTGTTTGATGGTGCCAACACGGGAAAAGCTATAATATCATCTTAGTCTGACGGGGTTACCACGTTATCACTGAAATAGAAACCTAGCTCGGAAACAATGGATATATTTATTGGTTCTAATTAGAATTGCCAATGTCGGTCCCATTTTTATGATATGAAGGCAGCGTATTGACACCCGTATTGTTGAAATGCATAACGAAATTAGCATAATTCGCTCTATCATTATGATATAAACAAATTAACATAATGTTGAAATAGTTGTACATATCTATTTAATCGCAAAGCATAATGATAAGAACAAATTAGCGAAATGATGAATTTGCGCATTCGCAATAATTGCTACATAAACGTTATACAGAATCTTCAATTAGCGAACACACGTTCTTTGCGAAAAGCGCTAAAATAATAGTACCGCTAAAATATGTATGTAAGCAGTATATCTTTACACAGAATGTAACATTGTACATGAATAAAAATAGTCTTAATTACAGTTGTAACAAAGTTGTTGTCAATAACAGAACTAAAACAATCCATCACATACCCGGAGTTTACGGCACTCACCAATCTTACACTGGACAAATACAGAGACCCTAGGTGTCCTGGACAATACCTAAAATGTCTCATCCAAATTACTATGTATGATTTTAACCAAAGTGATTCTTTGACCACTAGCCCTCACGAATGACATAATTGTATTATTTCAAAGTTTTGTTTATATATACATGTTCAAAACCTCTTACAACTCTAAACACAGCATGGCGTCAGTTCTAGTGTCAATATTAAAGATTTTAGAATTATTAATGTGATTGGGTGAGGGTATGTGATATAGTGACAATACGGTTCTAAACGATTAGTCCTTAATAAATGTGTCTCACATTTTTTAATAAGTGTGTATGAAGTGTTGTCATTGATCATCGTCATCATCATCATCATCATCATCATCATCATCATCATCATCATCATCATTGCATCCTGATAGTATTCCATTTTTCCGTGGTGGGATGTATTCTGGCTCCACAACATACATATGTAAATCAAAGCTTTACGTATCAGAAAAAAAGTTTCCGTAAAATGTATGTAGTAAATGACATTTATCATAGAATGCTCATTAGCAGCATTCCGTGTAGTTCCGGCGTTGATTACGTTTTTAATTTGAGAACGTGGCATTACTCACTTGGATTGACCAAGATTTACATGGCGGGTGTCGTCGATAAAGCAGAAGACGCTTACTCTTCCTGAACACCTGATCTTATTGTCCTTGTACTTTCTCAGGAGTGTCTCTGTGAATTTTTTATTTGTTCATATTTTGCTCTAGTTTTATTGAATATGAGTTTGGATAATGCTTATGTAGACATGTTGGTATTTTTTTTTACCTGAAATGAATAATCGAATCTTAACAAATGGTTGTCTTAGAATGATCAATGCACACAGCAGGCTTTAAGATCCTTGTTTAACTTTGAGCAAAGTTATGCTCCGGACACGAAAGGATGAACTGACTAAACGTCAATTACACTCTCAAGCCGTACTCCTGTGGGGTGCAGGAGTAGGGCCTAAACTCAACGGTAATTCAGACCAGGTGAGATAAATACTACCAACGCGATCATTGCTACTATCTATCAAATAATTTTATTCTATTTTGACACACAGCAAAATCTGAGCAAGGTTTAGCTAGCATATTGTATTTTTTGTTTTGTTTTTAAAACAGGTATTGAAAACACATAGAATAGGAAAACATAGTAATTAACTTGAAATCTGTATTAGTTAATGTCCCGTTAGAATTCGATTAATTCATATCTATTTGTAACATATAAGATTTAAACATCAACAATAAAATGCACGCTAATACATTATTATCATGTTATCTCCACCCTTATCATATTTATCATTTCAGAATATTTGATTGATATAAACAACCATTAGGATTATACAGCAGGTTAGAGCCTATATAAGTCTTCTCTCATGACTTCTTTTATCATGAATAATAATCAGAAAATCTAAGAAAAGGGAATGGAATGTCTGACAGTTTTTGTAAAGTTTACACATGTGGTATGAATTGTTAATTTGCGAGGAATTTTACATCCCTGTTTCAACCTGTATATACATGTACATTCCTTAACCTCAATGTATATATATATATATATATATATATATATATATATATATACATGTATGTGTATATATACCTGAGTTAATGTGTGATTACACATCAGTGTATATATATTATTATTTATTATTATACATTAATATTAAATAATTGATATAGTCATCTAATTGGTAATTGTTGATTGCTAGGATTAAATGTTGACAACTATTTTTGATGACAAGATATCCTATTTCTAATGGATTCTGTTGACTGCTAGGATTAAATGTTGACAACTATTTTTGATGACAAGATATCCTATTTCTAATGGATTCTGTTGACTGCTAGGATTAAATGTTGACAACTATTTTTGATGACAAGGTATCCTATTTCTAATGGGTTCCTTTGATTGCTAGGATTAAATGTTGACAACCAAGTTTGATGACGAGACATCCTACTTCTAATGGGTAATTTCTATTGCTAAAATAAACTTGACTGTATACGAGCTATCAATAAACAGTCATCATAATGTTATCATAGAAATGTACATGGTGAGAGTTAAGGTGTTTGTTAATTCATTATAGCAATCTAGACATATGTTACACATTTCTATAATAGCTTGCATGGTTTACACACCTGTGTAGGTAGTCCACACCGACTGAGACAAGTGTTTGACCCGAGTATATGATAAAGCTGGTGACCTTGATAAAAGGAAGATGGAGAAGGCAGGCATACCTCCAGGTAAACAACCAACCCATTTGATACTTTCTAACTGGATACAAGACTGACAATTAAAACGATAATATCATGGGAAATGGCTGCCAATGCAGTCAATTTAAAGTATATTTTGTAACGCGAAAGTGGAGTTTTGAAGTAAAATTGTAACAGACATTTACATGTGTATGTGTCAGACAGAGTGTGGGTATCCTGTTATACACCTACAGTACTCACACATAATACACTGGTTTATATGTCAGCTTTATATAATCTACAGAATGTCTCATCACACAAGTACAAAGATTTTAAGTGTTATCTTTAAAGGAGCTCTAGGTCCAACATGTTCAACATGTAACTGCAGACAACATAGGTTACCATATCTGCACTCATAACTAATGATGATATCCCGTGTCATGATTACTGAACAACTAAATTATATCTACTGCAGATCTACTGTATAATATCTACTGTGATATATCTACTGTATATCTACTGTGTTATATCTATTGTGTTATATCTACTGTGTTATATCTACTGTGTTATATCTACTGTAGATCAACTGTGTTATATCTACTGTGTTATATCTAATGTGTTATATCTACTGTATATCTACTGTGTTATATCTACTGTTATATCTACTGTGTTATATCTACTGTTATATCTACTGTGTTATATCTATTGTGTTATATCTACTGTGTTATATCTTCTGTGTTATATCTACTGTGTTATATATACTGTGTTATATCTACTGTTTTATCTACTGTGTTATATCTACTGTGTTATATCTACTTTGTTATATCTACTGTTATATCTACTGTGTTATATCTACTGTGTTATATCTACTGTGTTAGATCTACTGTGTTATATCTACTGTGTTATATCTACTCTTTTATATCTTCTGTGATATATTTACTGTGTTATATCTATTGTAGATCTACTGTGTTATATCTACTGTGTTATATCTACTGTAGATCTTCTGTCTACTGGAGACCTTACATTTTCTATCAACTCCTCGTGTAACATCTAATTCATACCTGCATAATATTTATTCTAAAGCATCATGTTATATCTACATTAGGTCTTCTTCATGCATCTGCTGTTTTACAACCGACGAAGGCGGAGATACACCAACTTTCCGAGGATTTAGACCTAAAGTGTACAGTTGAAGAGGAAGAAGCCTTCTACGGTATGTGATTGTAGTATTCCTTATATGATGTATGTGAGTATATAGTCTAATTTATCGTAACGGTGATGTCCAACATATAATCATAAATCACCTGAAAGCTTCGTTCGATGTTTTATATGCGTCGTAGTGACAGTCAGTAATCGACACTTATGCAAAAAGAACCCAGGTATGGGTAAATTAGGCGCACCGGGCATGGATAAGTATTTTTATACGCAAGAAAAAGAAACGCAATTAGCAGAAAATTAGTATTGTAAATTAAATCACCCTTGAAACTTGACAAATATGTGCATTTGAGCTAGGTCCCTATGGTACCGTATTAAACTCACTGATGCATGACTAAACTGCGCACGCCGCTTGTACAAAAGAATAAGAGACAAAAGCACTATATCTCGATCCCAGTATAAATCGTCAGACATATCCGTCTTGATTTCCCACATTTTAAGCATAAACAGTTCACCGTAAAAAATGCCACAACTGTCCGAAGTTGACAGGGGTCGTGCCATTGCACTTCTTATGCAAGGAACCCCGCAAAATCAGGTCGCTAATCAATCTGGAGTCCATCCTTCGAAAATTTGCCGTCTCATCCAAAGACTACATGCCACCGGAAGGGTTGCAGACCGTACCCGAAGCAGTCGCCCTTGTGTGACGACGTTTCGGCAGGAAAGGGCAATTCGACTTTCGCACCTACGCAATCGCTTTCTGACGGCCATGGAAACAGCAAGGAACACAATTGGTCGTCATCATGTTCCAATTGATCCAAAGACATTGCCTTCGGTCTAAGACCGCGGAGGCCATATGTTGGACCACAGCTTAATGCGCGTCAACGTGCCAGATGAATGCAATGGCTGAACGCATATTCCGTAAGATTCTGTAAGACGCTTCCCAATGCAACGTTGGAGAAGTGTCCTATTCTCAGATGAGTCCAGGTTTTCGCTTTACCGGGCAAACGGCCGACGTCGTATCTATAGACGTACCCACGAGCGCTATGCAGATGCTTGCGTGATAGAGAATGACCGCTTTGGAGGAGGATCGGTCATGGTATGGGGAGGGATTGCGCATGGTATCAAGACTCCCCTGGTCGTTATTCAGGGAAATCTCACGGACGTCCGCTATAGAGATCAAGTCCTAGCGCCGCATGTTGTTCCTCAAGTACAGCAGCGTCAACTGACGTTTCAGCAGGACAACGCCCGGCCGCATGTAGCGAGGGTTTGCCGCGGTTATCTCGCAGCAAACAATGTCCCCACCATAGACTGGCCCCCGTACAGCCCTGACCTCTCCCAATAGAACATTATGGGACGAGTTAGACAGAAGAATAAGACTTAGGTCGAATCCTCCAATCAACGTCGCTCAGTTAGCGTTGGCGCTGGATGAGGAATGGAATCGTATACCAATGAGGAGGGTTAATACACCGATCAATTCAATGCACAAAAGAGTTCGTGCAGTTACTGCAGCTCGCGGGTGACACTCACGATATTGATGGGTCCAGAATGCACTTCATTTTGAGTGGGGTACTCTTGAATCAACGTCAAATTTGAAAACTGAATGTACACGAATGAAATTCTCGTAGATGACAGAGTGGTCAACTATCTTCCAGTTACACCATAATTACATTCTAAAATCCTTTTCTATTTCCCGTAGTTAATCTGGAAATTCCTAATTGCGTTTCTTTTTTGCTCTTAGTATATGATGGATTATTGATGTCTATAATGCTATGTATATGCAGTACAAAATAAAGAAGTTTCTTTATCATTTCATTATATATCAATATATGTATAAATACAAGTTATTACAATCCTTGATTAAATCATCTATGTCAAATGATTGTATGTTCAAATATAGAGCACTATAAGGGTGTGCTGAAGTCGTACCAGACAGTCTATGAGTTGCCCGATCCACAGCTTCCTGTCCGCTATCCACGACTTCCAGGTCAGAGGGAACAAGTCGATAATGCTTGGTTAGTATTTATTTTCTCTTACATGAAATTTACTATAGTAACCAATGTATGACATCCGATTGTTCTACGCCGTCTCGGCGATTACTGCATCAGCATGTATTATTTGTCAAAAGACGTAAACGGAAGGAGATTGTGGCGCGTGCATCAATCTATTTACTTCTAATTATACATCGTAAAGAGAAAGTAAGAGACACATTGAAACTATTACGCTTACATGAAATCTTCCGTTGTTCCGAATTATATAAAATAGCATATTGACGTAATTGCGCAGTTTATTGTTACAATGTCGTTTGTTTGTTATTGTGATCTAGACTTAACACGAACCATTCAGATCAGGGAATAATTGCTGTTTGTTTGTTTGTTTGTTTTAATGACACAAACGTTTTCGACAAACACGTTCTTCACCACGTGAATATATCTAGTTCATCTAATTCACGATTTGTGTTAGGAGCAACACCAAGAAAGTAAAATACAGAAAGAAAGAACAGACAGAAAAGAAAGGAAGAAAGGAAAAGATATGAGGGCTGATTGATAAGCTGTGAGCCTTGTGTTAAAGAAGTTAAGCAGGGATGTCTTTTTTCAGCTCTACTATTCCCTGACTATTTAAGGCTGTGTAACCGGAAACTGATGTTACTGGGTCAGTTTATTTCGAGGAGGTAGCTCTCTAAAGTAAACAAGGCAATCGCCTTTTGCAAAAAAGCACAAAATCGCTGAAAAAGCAGTGATTTAATATTTGCATAAGAAAGGTCTAGTACCTAAGGATATCCATACTGATAAAGAAGAGACACCAAGGTCTGGTGCCCCTTTGTATGCTACAGTGAAAAGGTCGGTGGTGGAATTTAAGCATGGAAGGCAGAGCCTTTGGGATGCCACCCGTCCTGGAATGTCTGTCACTGTTGCAACCCCAGAAATGGTCAATAAGTTCATGATATTGTTACGGCTGAGAGACTACTTGCAGGGATATAACTAGTACATTTGGAACTTAACAGGAAAGAGTACATTCCATTCATATGAAAGTTCTTGCGGTGAGAGAAATCTCATTTCGATGGGTACCAAGACTTCTGACAGTTGATTAGAAGCACACTAGACGACCTTGTCGATTGCTAATCTGAATATTTTAGGGGCAAATCCTGCTAATGTTCTTCCCGTCAAAGACTGTTCCATTAGCTGGAAAAGTTTTGGCCTCTGTTTTCTGGGATGCTGATGGTATTTTGATGGTAGATTAACTGCACAAGGGACAAACAATAAGTGCATCACTTCTTAGGCAGTTAACAAAAAATATCAAACTTAAGCGCCGCTGAAGACTCAGTAAAGGTGTGTTGTTCCACCAGGCGAAGTGTATAGATACTGAAAAATAATGCAATATGTCCGTCAAAAGTCAAACCCTTAAATATGAGGCTCACAACTTATCAATCAGCCCTCATAAATATCCCAAGTGTTGCCATTGGGGCTATTGGTCTCTTCAAATTTACCTTGGTAGAAGGAAAGGAGAGGGAGTAAAATTAGTCTAGTTGTTATGGCTTCTAAGAGAAGCTGCGAAAACGGATAGCAGGAGAGAACTGTGTATTGATAGAGAAGAACTCTGAAAGGGAGGATGGGAATGAAGAGTGATGATAGCAGTTTGGTTGTTTGACATCACAGCGATAAACTATTTACAATATATTCTGTATGATAATTTAATCCTTCTCCGTGACGTCAAGTTTGAAAATAAGTCTATATTGTACGTCACAACATATCGGAAACAACAACAACAGGTAAAAAATAACTACAAGGTTTTTGATGCTCAAAATTTTACCCAACTATTCATACTTGAAAGGATGAGTGCTGTTTAATATCGTATTGATAGAGCGCCCCCTCCCCACCCACTGGCCCACCCACTGGCCCACCCCTTTCCCTTTCCGAAATTATTATCTTGTCTATCTTTTTCTGCACTCAGAAAAGAGGTTAACATTTCTACTTCATTACAGTAACATTGATAATAAGCATTAACCCATATGTAACGTTACACATGCGTTATCTCGAAAATGAACTAATCCAAATGACATTTAACCACTTAATTATGTTTATCCGTAATAATTTCCTTAAATGACTTTCTGTCCTCCAGGTACTGGAGATGTGACATTAAGGGAGCAGACTCTGGACTGTTGGCCGGTAAGACAGTGGCTATTAAAGACTCTATAGCTGTGGCTGGGGTCCCCATGATGAATGGTACAAAGTTACTGGAGGGTTACACACCAGAGTTTGATGCCACTGTCGTCACTAGGGTCCTAGACGCCGGTAGGTTCAATACTCCTGATATCACACCTTTGTCAGGTACTTGTACGTCAATTTTGATCAACAAAAAGTTAGATGTAAATACTCCTGAGTGGAAAGATTCCGGTTAAAAATTGAAGTTATATATTGTGCTGTTATTTAAAAAGGGTGTATTCGATTTACGAACGTTCGCTTTTGTGTGTAGGATTCTTATAGGGAAAAGTCTCCTGAGTGTTTTTACATACAACACAGTTGTGCGTTAGAGACAAAAAACACAACACAGAAAAACACTTCTAGTATAAAATTGGTCTAATTTTATCCTATTCCATTAATGATTGATTAATGATCAATCGTTTGATTTCAGAAATATGTATTTTTACGTCACACAAACATCTGTTTTAACAATTTTATATGATATCTCGTGTACAATTTATGCTAAAATTATGAAATATTTTGACGTAAAATTAGCATTTTCTGTCTTTGATAAGATGGGCAAACATGAAGGTAGGCACTGCCTGTGAGCTTTTAAACCTATGACCTATGTTCTTTTGTGTTTGATGAGGTGGATATATTCTAGGAAATGTGATTAATGTTCATCTATACTAAATACTCAATGTTTCTTTGCCTTTGAAAAGGTTAACATATCCTTGGTAAGGCGGTTGTGCCTATGTGTATATCTACCTGTATGATCTATGTTTTTTTGCCTTTGATAAGGTGGACATATTCTAGGGAAGGCGGTTGTGCCTATGTGTATATCTACCTGTATGATATATGTTTCTTTGCCTTTGATAAGGTGGACATATTCTAGGGAAGGCGGTTGTGCCTATGTGTATATCTACCTGTATGATCTATGTTTCTTTGCCTTTGATAAGGTGGACATATTCTAGGGAAGGCGGCTTGTGCCTACTAAGTATGTGAATATCTGCCTGTATAATATATGTTTTCTTTGCCTTTGATAAGGTGGACATATCCTGGGGAAGGCGGCTTGTGACGACATGTGCTTGAGCGGTGGTTCCTGGTCTTCTTCTACCGGACCTATTGTCAACCCGTGTGATCCCTATAAGGATGCAGGGGGCTCCAGTTCTGGATGTGCTTCTCTGGTAGCTATACTATTATAACAATATACTTCACGCGTTAATAATCCTTTTACTTAAATTTTACATTGATATTATTTTCGAATGTTATTTCTTTAAGAGTCATTCTTCCAATCGAATGACAGAAATAAGATACGGTATTATTTTTACATATTTTAAAAGAGAGAGACTAATATATGTGCCTGACGATAAGAGAAACTCATGATCATTGGTATGTTTGTTGTATCAGAAAAAAGTCGACAAAAATCAAGCTTTTGGAACGCGCGTATAATTGGCTTTATTATCAGGATGATAATCAATCAATATAATCGATCACTGGTCCATCCTTGATATCGGACTTTGGGATGATGCTGGACATGGTAAAATAGCGTAAGATTAGTCCATGTAAAATACACATAGGGAAAAACCATCAATAGGAAAAATTCCGAAATAAAAATATTAAATAAAATATCAAATATCTGAGGTCAATAATCATCAAACTTCGAGGATAAATGTTGAAAGGTAGAGTAATGCAACATATCAGAATATTTATTAATTTTTTTATGTCTTCAGCACATCTGTATAGTATTTTTATCTAATATTATCCCAGCCATGACAACTGCCTCTGGTAGAGTGGCAGATTTAACATGCATTCAGAAGAGCATTTGTACGGAAGTGTATTCTGGCCACATTGTGTTTTATTTTATCTCGAAATTTCGAGATAGTAACTCGAAATTTCGAGTTAGTAATCCGAAATTTTGAATTAGTAATCCGAAATTTTGAGTTAGTAAGTCGAAATTTTCCGTTGCTATCTCGAAATTTCGGGTTGATATCTCAAAATTTCGGATTACTAACTCGAAATTTCGAGTTGCTATCTCGAAATTTCGAGATAAAATAAAACACAACGTGGCCGGAATACACCTCCGTACATTTGAGAAGCAGTCGTTATCTGAAATTATTTAGGTAGCACGAGGGATAGTGGACATGGCTATTGGAGCTGACCAAGGAGGGTCTATTCGTACTCCGGCCAGTTACTGTGGTATCGTAGGGATGAAACCGACGTATGGACTGATCCCTTACACAGGGGCCATGGGAGGGGCGGTTACCATCGATCACCTCGGACCCATGACGAGGACAGTGGAAGACTGTGCATTACTTCTGGAGGTACTGCTTGCGATTGTATATAAATGAAATAAATCTTACGAATTCGGAGGTCCGGGCTGGTATGGTTAAAAATAAACGTCTTAGTTATCGAAATGAAATTTATATTGAAATCTGTATAAATAAACGCAATGACCGAAAAGTTTGAACGGTGGATTAAATCCTTGATGTATACCTTTGAAACTTGACAAAGTTTTGCCCATAAAGTCTTCCTTCCAGAGCGGACTATACAAATTCACTGATGGCTAACACAAACTGAACATGTCGAGTGTTCAAAAAACAAACACAAGCATACAAACGATGTCCCGATTTCAGTCTGTCTGAAGGATCGGTTTCATTTTTTTCTGTGAGCAACACTTCAAACATATCCGTCTTTATTTCTCATATTTTAAACACAAAGAAATAGCTTCAAAGAGGGCCACAAATTTGTGAGGGACGTGCCTTTTTATTTCATATGTAAGGTACCAAACAAAGTCAGGTCGAAAATCCATTTGGAGTTCATCCATTGGCGATTTGACGTTCCGACTCCATGCCACAGAGGATTTTGAAGACCGTACCTGAATCGGTCGGCCTCGTGTGACGACTCGTCGGCAGGGTCGATACTTGTTTTGGAAGTACTGTTCCATCATTGGCAAGAGGAGTTTATTATTAGAGAGTTAAAGCAGTGATATGAATTTTTATCAACACATATCTATAAATATATCAATACGTATTTGACCTAAAAGGCGTACATTTAGAGAGCAAGTCTTGTGTCAGTGTTTGTTTTTCAAGCAGCACTGGTTCACAAATGTCAAGAAACAGTCATTGTCATTGAATATAGCAAATAATCATATGAATTGTTGCATGTATTGGGGGCCCAAAAAGGTTATTTTTGTCAATAAAATTTAGGAATGTTTTATTTTAAATCTCATGAAATAACTATCACGCTAAAAAATGTAATATGTAGGTGTGTGTGTTTGATCATCAATTGGTGTTTACATGAATTGCAATCAAACGTTGAACTATGTTGTTCTCACACAGCTCTTGTTCATATCGCAGGCCCTTGCCGGTTTCGATGATGACAGGGATCCTAGACAGCGACCGATCGACTCCATACCTCCATACTCTAAACTGGCAAGTGTTTCAACAAGAACGTGTTGTGCTCAATGTGTAGCAACAGACGTCATATATCTCAAATGGAACTAGGAAAGTCAGAAAGCAGTATTACAATGTGATTTCTAATGTTTACCATGTGACAAGATGTAAACACTAAATCATTAATGTGTGTGAACACTTCTGTTTAGTTTAACCGTGACGTGTCCGGGAGGAAAGTAGGGGTTCTTACAGAGGGATTCCTGGGAGTAGATGCAGATGTTGATAAGTGTGTAAATGAAAAGTTGTCGAAACTATCCGAGGCTGGGGTTGTACTCAAGGATGTATCCATACCTATACACCAAGTAGGTATGTATAATATGTAGGTATGTATATTATGTAGGTATGTATACTATATAGGTATCTATATTATGTAGGTATGTATACTATATATGTATCTATATTATGTAGGTATGTATACTATATAGGTATGTATATTATGTAGGTATGTATACTATATAGGTATATATACTATGTAGGTAATGTAGGTATGTATACTATGTAGGTAATGTAGGTATGTATACTATATAGGTATGTATATTATGTAGGTATGTATACTATATAGGTATGTATATTATGTAGGTATGTATACTATATAGGTATGTATACTATATAGGTATGTATACTATGTAGGTATGTATACTATATAGGTATGTATATTATGTAGGTATGTATACTATATATGTATGTATATTATGTAGGTATGTATACTATATAGGTATGTATACTATATAAGTATGTATATTATGTAGGTATGTATACTATATAGGTATGTATACTATATAGGTATGTATATTATGTAGGTATGTATACTATATAGGTATGTATAGTATGTAGGTATGTATACTATATAGGTATGTATATTATGTAGGTATGTATACTATATAGGTATGTATACTATGTAGGTATGTATATTATGTAGGTATGTATACTATATAGGTATATATACTATGTAGGTATGTATATTATGTAGGTATATATATTATGTAGGTATGTATACTATATAGGTATGTATACTATATAGGTATGTATATATATAGGTATGTATACTATATAGGTATGTATACTATATAGGTATGTATACTATATAGGTATGTATACTATATAGGTATGTATATTAGGTATGTATATTATGTAGGTATGTATACTATATAGGTATGTATACTATATAGGTATGTATATTATATAGGTATGTATACTATATAGGTATGTATACTATATAGGTATGTATATTATGTAGGTATGTATACTATATAGGTATGTATACTATGTAGGTATGTATACTATGTAGGTATGTATACTATATAGGTATGTATATTATGTAGGCATATATATATAGGTATATATACTATATAGGTATGTATAGTATGTAGGTATGTATATTATGTAGGTATGTATATTATATAGGTATGTATACTATATAGGTATGTATATTATGTAGGTATGTAAATTATGTAGGTATGTATACTATATAGGTATGTATACTATATAGGTATGTATATTATGTAGGTATGTATATTATGTAGGTATGTATACTATATAGGTATGTATACTATATAGGTATGTATATTATGTAGGTATGTATATTATGTAGGTATGTATACTATATAGGTATGTATATTATGTAGGTATGTATATTATGTAGGTATGTATATTATATAGGTATGTATATTATGTAGGTATGTATACTATATAGGTATGTATATTATGTAGGTATGTATGTAGGTATGTATACTATATAGGTATGTATATTATGTAGGTATGTATACTATATAGGTATGTATATTATGTAGGTATGTATACTATATAGGTATGTATATTATGTAGGTATGTATGTAGGTATGTATACTATATAGGTATGTATATTATGTAGGTATGTATACTATATAGGTATGTATACTATATAGGTATGTATACTATATAGGTATGTATATATGTAGGTATGTATACTATATAGGTATGTATATTATGTAGGTATGTATACTATATAGGTATGTATATTATGTAGGTATGTATGTAGGTATGTATACTATATAGGTATGTATATTATGTAGGTATGTATACTATATAGGTATGTATACTATATAGGTATGTATACTATATAGGTATGTATACTATGTAGGTATGTATACTATATAGGTATGTATATTATGTAGGTATGTATACTATATAGGTATATATACTATGTAGGTATGTATACTATGTAGGTATGTATACTATATAGGTATGTATATTATGTAGGTATGTATACTATATAGGTATATATACTATATAGGTATGTATATTATGTAGGTATGTATACTATATAGGTATGTATATTATGTAGGTATGTATGTAGGTATGTATACTATATAGGTATGTATATTATGTAGGTATGTATACTATATAGGTATGTATATTATGTAGGTATGTATACTATATAGGTATGTATATTATGTAGGTATGTATACTATATAGGTATGTATATTATGTAGGTATGTATGTAGGTATGTATACTATATAGGTATGTATATTATGTAGGTATGTATACTATATAGGTATGTATACTATATAGGTATGTATACTATATAGGTATGTATACTATGTAGGTATGTATACTATATAGGTATGTATATTATGTAGGTATGTATACTATATAGGTATATATACTATGTAGGTATGTATACTATGTAGGTATGTATACTATATAGGTATGTATATTATGTAGGTATGTATACTATATAGGTATATATACTATGTAGGTATGTATATTATGTAGGTATGTATACTATATAGGTATGTATATTATGTAGGTATGTATATTATGTAGGTATGTATACTATATAGGTATGTATACTATATAGGTATGTATATTATGTAGGTATGTATACTATATAGGTATGTATATTATGTAGGTATGTATACTATATAGGTATGTATATTATGTAGGTATGTATATTATGTAGGTATGTATATATATGTAGGTAGGTATGTATACTATATAGGTATGTATACTATGTAGGTATGTATACTATATAGGTATGTATACTATATAGGTATGTATATTATGTATATGTATACTATATAGGTATATATACTATGTAGGTATGTATACTATGTAGGTATGTATACTATATAGGTATGTATATTATGTAGGTATGTATACTATATAGGTATATATACTATGTAGGTATGTATATTATGTAGGTATGTATTCTATATAGGTATGTATATTATGTAGGTATGTATACTATATAGGTATGTATATTATGTAGGTATGTATATTATGTAGGTATGTATATTATGTAGGTAGGCATGTATACTATATAGGTATATATACTATATAGGTATGGTATGTATAGTATGTAGGTATGTATATTATGTAGGTAGGTATATTATGTAGGTATGTATACTATATAGGTATGTATACTATATAGGTATGTATACTATATAGGTATGTATACTATATAGGTATGTATACTATATAGGTATGTATACTATATAGGTATGTATATTATGTAGGTATGTATACTATATAGGTATGTATATTATATAGGTATGTATATTATGTAGGTATGTATACTATATAGGTATATATACTATATAGGTATATACATTATATAGGTATGTATACTATATAGGTATGTATATTATATAGGTATGTATACTATATAGGTATGTATACTATGTAGGTATGTATACTATATAAGTATGTATATTATGTAGGTATATACATTATATAGGTATGTATACTATATAGGTATGTATACTATGTAGGTATGTATATTATGTAGGTATATATATTATATAGGTATGTCTATCGCATTAGTTCCCATTGTTATAACAATTAATTACTGTTACATTCTACATATGAAATCTAGATAATAATTCATTAATCTAAGAAAATGAAATGTAGTTCAGATGTGTTGTTAAACATCTCAAACACAAAACACAACTGTATTTTTATACAATCTATCGAGATTAAGTTTAAACTTTAAGTACTGGGAACACCAGTATATATCAATAATTCGTATAAAACAAATGGTCGAATGGTGCAGTGGTTACGCAATCGCCTTTCACCAAGACGTCCCCAGTTAGATTCCCAGAACAGATATGAAAACGTAGGGGCCGACCACATATGTAATACACAGTAAGACCCCTCGCGCGCTTAAATCCGGGCCAACAGGAGTGATCAATATAAGCTGCTAGCTTTTTTCTCAATTGTATTAGAATAAATAAAAATGTTACGAATGTTAATATCTTAATGAATGCTACAACTTTTTTTTATGTTAAGTGAGAATGACTGTGTTACATTAATGTCTATGCGTTACAATATACGTAGTTACTAGTCATTGTGTAAGGATTGGGATTCACTTGTGTAATGTGTATGTGAATTTATCAAACGACTGAAGTAAAATAACATGCTGCTGTGGTCATTATTCTGTACAGACTATTCCGATACTGGACAAATCTTAGTGTTTTCTTTTTTCATTTCTAGATTGTTTCCTATGATTATCTGCGGTGGTTTTGTTCTCGTATCTCAGTTCGTAATAGTTTTTGATATTTTTTTCTTCTCAGGAACAGATATCTTCGTCCCCATTACGGTCGAAGGTTCTCACGCCTGTGGATCACATGGATATGGTATGATGGACCTGGCTTGTAACTACACCAAAAGTAAACTTTAAAAATTTACACGCCTATGTGTCTATCAGAGTACAAGAAATATACCTATATGTATATAACGTTTGATACATTAAACGTAACTAGTAATCAGCTGATGAGTCCGGCAAGGGGACCAAACGATGTGTAATACGGTGTAGGTAAACATAACTTTAGCTTTAAACATCATAACTATCATACCGTGTGTACTCCTGTGTATGTTTTATCCCAATTTGTTACAGGCACTGGTTACCTGTGGAAAGGTTACTACCCTGTAACATTACAGGAAGCTATGGCTAGAGGTTCCACCCTGCGGCCTTATGACCTCCCCATTAATCTGAAGATGAGAAGAATTCTCGGAGAATATATGCGAAGAAATTATCAGAATAAGTTTTATGCTAGATCACAGAACCTCGTTCCTGTGCTGAAAAAAGCCTACGACGACGCTCTCAAAGACGTCGACGTTCTTGTGATGCCGACGATGTCAAAAACGGCGGAGAGCCTACCGTTTACTGAAAGTACAGCTAAAGGTATTGCATACAACATTATATATATAGAGCTACAATACCCAATTTATGTACTCTATAATATAGTACTGAGCACACATTCTATAATATAGTACTGAGCATACGCTCTATAATATACAATACGAGAAGGTGTATAAAACAGCTATAAGTAGTACCACTCCATACTGTATCATACAAAACACACTTCATACTCTATAACACAGCTACAGGTAGTACCGCTCCATACTGTATCACAAAACACACTTCATACTCTATAACACAGCTACAGGTAGCACCGCTCCCTACCGTATCATACAAAACACACTTCATACTCTATAACACAGCTACATGTAGCACCGCTCCCTACCGTATCATACAAAACACACTTCATACTCTATAACACAGCTACAGGTAGTACTGCTCCATACTGTATCACAAAACACACTTCATACTCTATAACACAGCTACATGTAGTACCGCTCCCTATTGTATCACAAAACACACTTCATACTCTATAACACAGCTACAGGTAGTACCGCTCCATACTGTATCATACAAAACACACTTCATACTCTATAACACAGCTACAGGTAGTACCGCTCCCTATTGTATCACAAAACACACTTCATACTCTATAACACAGCTACAGGTAGTACCGCTCCCTACCGTATCATACAAAACACACTTCATACTCTATAACACAGCTACAGGTAGTACCGCTCCATACTGTATCACAAAACACACTTCATACTCTATAACACAGCTACAGGTAGTACCACTCCATACTGTATCACAAAACACACTTCATACTCTATAACACAGCTACAGGTAGTACCACTCCATACTGTATCACAAAACACACTTCATACTCTATAACACAGCTACAGGTAGTACCGCTCCCTACCGTATCATACAAAACACACTTCATACTCTATAACACAGCTACAGGTAGTACCGGTCCATACTGTATCATACAAAACACGCTTCCTACTCTATAACACAGCTACAGGTAGTACCGCTCCCTACCGTATCATACAAAACACACTTCATACTCTATAACACAGCTACAGGTAGCACCGCTCCCTACCGTATCATACAAAACACACTTCATACTCTATAACACAGCTACAGGTAGTACCGCTCCATACTGTATCATACAAAACACACTTCCTACTCTATAACACAGCTACAGGTAGCACCGCTCCATACTGTATCATACAAAACACACTTCCTACTCTATAACACAGCTACAGGTAGTACCGCTCCATACTGTATCATACAAAACACACTTCATACTCTATAACACAGCTACAGGTAGTACCGGTCCATACTGTATCATACAAAACACACTTCATACTCTATAACACAGCTACAGGTAGTACCGCTCCATACTGTATCATACAAAACACACTTCATACTCTATAACACAGCTACATGTAGCACCGCTCCATACTGTATCATACAAAACACACTTCATACTCTATAACACAGCTACAGGTAGTACCGCTCCATACTGTATCACAAAACACACTTCATACCCTATAACACAGCTACAGGTAGTACCGCTCCATACTGTATCACAAAACACACTTCATACTCTATAACACAGCTACAGGTAGTACCACTCCATACTGTATCATACAAAACACACTTCATACTCTATAACACAGCTACAGGTAGCACCGCTCCCTACCGTATCATACAAAACACACTTCATACTCTATAACACAGCTACATGTAGCACCGCTCCCTACCGTATCATACAAAACACACTTCATACTCTATAACATAGCTACAGGTAGTACCGCTCCATACTGTATCACAAAACACACTTCATACCCTATAACACAGCTACAGGTAGTACCACTCCATACTGTATCATACAAAACACACTTCATACTCTATAACACAGCTACAGGTAGTACCGCTCCATACTGTATCACAAAACACACTTCATACTCTATAACACAGCTACAGGTAGTACCGCTCCATACTGTATCATACAAAACACACTTCATACTCTATAACACAGCTACAGGTACCACCGCTCCCTACTGTATCATACAAAACACACTTCCTACTCTATAACACAGCTACAGGTAGTACCACTCCATACTGTATCATACAAAACACACTTCATACTCTATAACACAGCTACAGGTAGTACCGCTCCATACTGTATCATACAAAACACACTTCATACTCTATAACACAGCTACATGTAGTACCGCTCCATACTGTATCATACAAAACACACTTCCTACTCTATAACACAGCTACAGGTAGTACCGCTCCATACTGTATCATACAAAACACACTTCCTACTCTATAACACAGCTAAATGTAATGCTCTTTAATGCTCGTTAGAGTATCACGTGCCTAACGCTTCACTGAACCGCTGAAAGTAACGTTTTTACGTTCTATATACATTGTATTACTGTGAAAGGTCCGTAATATATTACACACTCCAGTGATATAAACACATACACTTCAAATGGAATCCGTTCATTTTCAACAAAGTTAAATGTCTTTTATGTTTCATTAAGATTGAAAGTTAAACTTAACATTTTAAAACTTTCATAAAAACTTAATATTTAAACATTTTATAATTTTGATTGGCAACGTGGATTAATACACTACTGTATTTCATCATTATTTTTTAAAGAATACAGTTATTTATCAATTTTATTCACAAGGATGAATTGATAACAAGTACTCAAAATTTTGTTGACAGAGAGACTTGCAGCGTGTATGGAAATATCAAATAATTTGGCCTCCTTCGACGCGACTGGTCATCCGGCCTTGTCCCTCAATGCTGGTTACTCAGGACAAACTGGACTTCCGGTCGGACTACAAGTTGTCGGTAGACTGTACGATGACCTTAGTGTACTTCAAATAGCCTTCGCTATAGAACGGGTATAGAATATGATATTGAGAATATCTGGTTACAACAAACAAGCAATATAACTGATACGGCTTGTGATTGACACCATACTGTTTCTGGTGTTATAACAACACAGACATTTACACTACATATACAGTATATTTCTTTGTTTCAAAGTTTCGTGAAAAAACAACTTCCTGCAAATAAACATGAAATTGTAAATGACTTTCTTCTCTTTGTTCATAGTCAAAATCAAAACACAATATCGTAATCAAAGTTAACAGGAAAGAAACACAAACGTGTTTTTGAAAAGGTAAAGGAAAAAGACCAGATGTTCCGGGAGGCTAAGCATTGTCAGCCTGATATGCTGTGAATACCAGGAGTCTTGGTCATATGCTATTATCTTCCTTTAAAGAAGCATTATTGAGTTATTTATTTTACTAAGCATACGCTGGAAGAAAAACGTAAAGTAGTATTCTCGAATATGCGTATAATATTAGATGCCTTCGTTTGAAAATCAGAGCCTTGTAGTACAAACAGTTGCTTCCTGGATCATGTAAACGTCCTTCTGATTGGTTAAACAATAAACACATAATTTCTGTTAACACTCAAAATTTTGGCGAGTATGTCCCACATTCGGTATACGAAAGACATGTATTTGGACATGACTAGAACTCTGATGGCTTGTGAAAAGTGTTCAAAATAAAAACTGCAAAAATGCGTCATTAATCTCCCGCTCCTTTTCCGAAACACGTGTACAGGTATTGCGTGTATGTTTGGTTACAAACTTAGATAAAAGTATGTAATATTTCATGGCCTAGACAAAAGCGGAAAATTAAAAACTGTTTCCACTATGTAAAATGCATATGTTGTTTATCATATCACAAAAGATATACTACTGGTTACCAACCATTAAAAATAGATTGTAAATTGAACGATAAAAAAATCGAAGGGAACGTCGATATTTGATATTGGATTACAATATGATATTCACACAAACACATCGAAAATTGCAAAATCAATCAGATATTTAAAAACCTTAATGTAAAATGATATTTTAGGGCAGATAAATGGACTGCCAATAGTTAATGTATGAGATAATATGCATAAGTGTGCCACACACCAGTGAGGAACGGCGCTTTTGTGGTGAGGTTATGGTTCTGTCATATTTTCTTTGAACAGTAGTTTTATTTAAAAACCTGTCGACATGTCGGTATTCTCGCTATTCTTGTGTATAAACGCCAGGATTTCGCATGACGCTATAACGTTCAATTAAGCACAACAACAACTTTAAGGTCAATGATATATTTTAAAACCTAATGTAAATAGATATTTTCGGGCATTCTGTAAGAACTTTTTTTAATGGCAAGCCCACAATTCAAAGAAAACAAAGCACCGACATCTCTGTAATTCATTATGATGTGAAATTTCTTTATTACAACACTATTACAGTTGTTTAGTACATAGGTAATTAACTCTCATTCTATATACCTATAAACATCTATCAAATACCGAAATCATTCTTTATAGCTCCAGTAGTATGGTTTTGTCACATATTAGTAAACAGTAATTTCCTAGTGTTTGTAGTACGTTAAAGTTTAAATCGTTGTAGGATATAGGTTTCATGCTGAATATGAAAAACACGGCAAAAAATAAAAATAGAGCACAAATGTGCTGTTATAAAAAATCTACAGTGTCATATAATTTGTTAGCAGAACGATAGGTAAGATGACATAACTGCTTAAGATTCCGAAATGTTACAATAAGAGGAAGCTTAATGTTTGATATAAACACATGTGGCAACCGACAATGAACCAGCCTGACGAACATTTCCAGTCCAGTTCGAATAATTGGGAAATGGATAAGTTGTGTTTCACCAAATGAAAATATAATGTTCGTATTTATGCAGAAGAATGATTGTTTTTCCAAGGTCAACTTTAACGACGTTACAACAGGAAACGGACTTGGACGTGATATCAATATTCTTACACACGTGGTGTATACATTTACATGATGTATGTCTCTCGATATGTGGAATTTCCAGTGTGTTACCCAAAATTGGTTTACTTTACCAATAGTTTATAAGTTAAATACTCATCGCTTTGCGTTGTTTGGTTGTGTTCAAATCAATTTTGAGGAATAATTGAGGTTGGAGGATGTTCCAGAGATAACACAGAAAGACCCATCTGGGTTCACAAGTGGGATTCACAATTATTGTAACACTATCAAAGTTAATGTCATATTTAGTATTTAAAAAATGTAGCGATCGACAATAATAAAACAAACAAAACAACAAAGCGATAAATGACACCATTCAGAGCTGAAATACATATAACTAATGTCTTGATATCACAGACATCGTATTGACATCACAGACACATTATTGCCATCACAGACATCTTATTGCCATCACAGACATTTTACTGCCATCACAGACATCTTATTGCCATCACAGACATCGTATTGCCATCACAGACATATTATTGCCATCACAGACATATTATTGTCATCACAGACATCGTATTGTCATCACAGACATTATTGCCATCACAGACATCGTATTGTCATCACAGACATCGTATTGATATCACAGACATCGTATTGCCATCACAGACATCGTATTGCCATCACAGACATATTATTGCCATCACAGACATATTATTGTCATCACAGACATCGTATTGTCATCACAGACATTATTGCCATCACAGACATCGTATTGCCATCACAGACATCTTATTGCCATCACAGACATTATTGCCATCACAGACATCGTATTGCCATCACAGACATCTTATTGTCATCACAGACATTATTGCCATCACAGACATCGTGTTGCCATCACAGACATCGTATTGATATCACAGACATATTATTGCCATCACAGACATCGTATTGCCATCACAGACATATTATTGCCATCACAGACATATTATTGCCATCACAGACATTTTATTGCCATCGTTAAAAACTATTGCCGACCGCCATAAAAGACTGTCACATAACACCTTAAATGTTTATTACCTGAGCAGTTGTAATCCGCCACCCTGTAAATTATAGAACGCACACATATACAGACCATTCAGGTGATCCTTCAGAGCATGTTTTTGACTCTTCCCAACATAAGTGTTGACTCCTGATTTTGAAGGATATGTTTATGTCACATATTTTGACCTTTCAGCTTTGTAATCCGACTTCTGAACTGTCAAAGTCAATTGAATGCCGTAATGTGATAACGATGAAAGAAGGACTGGACGACCTGATTAATCTTGTTTATCCTTCATAATATATGTTGTCTGTTCCCAATTCTCACTTCTTTTGATTCTTCTCGTGTTTACGTGGTGCTGTAAACCATGAAGGATAGCAATGATATAGACAGGTTACCAACCATCTAAATCAAACAGAACATTCACAGGTCTTTTCCGACATTCACCTCTTCTCATCTCTTTTGATCAAATTAATTTTGTATCTAATTTGAAATATTAATAAGTATCATAATTCTTTAATTGGATTTGATCGAGTTAAAATTCTATTGGAAGAATTCCAATGCATGCTATGGCTGTGGAAAAGTTTCATCGAACTCCCAATGTATTAAAAAAAAGTTTTAATTTTTCAGATGAAATAAGCAATACACAACTACTTACAATTTTGTGTTGGGTTCGATTTTCTGAAACAGGAAAGATGTTTGTAAGTGGCAAGTATCAAATGCCGTCCAACGTACTTAAACATGGTTTGTTACGCTTAACCAAGAATAGACAAAGACCTGGATATTCCTTGGACAAAGACGATGATTTGAAATTAGAATTTATTGGAAACAATCTAAATCTTTAAAAACTCGTAAGCATTAGGGAGGTTTTGCCATTCCAATGCTTAGTGGATGTATGATATTAATGAAAATTATGTTTCTATATAAGAGAAGTAAACTTTTAACGAAAATCATTTTGTCAGTCTTACACTATTCTTCAGAACAATGGGAGTATTTTTTTCATAATTGATTCTGATAAAAAACAGAGAAAGACGATCAGACACCTTAACTTCTCGGCCACTATAGCATGTCAGTCAATGATAAATCTCGAGTGTGAATACCAAACACCTGCACATCACACATCATTTCCTAAATAAGATGCGAGTTTAAGTGGCTATATTTTATTCATTTGTATCGTGTACTAAATATGTACTAAATTTTCACGAGGACGATTAAATATGAAGTTCAAATGCACACGTTGTGGTCTTACTGGTATTATGTTTTGATGACTTAAGCTGCAATAACAACTACGATAACATATGGAGAGTATGATACCAAGATCATGTTAACATATGTACGTACACGACATGGAGAGTATGATACCAAGATCATGTTAACATATGTACGTACACGACATGGAGAGTATGATACCAAGATCATGTTGACATATGTACGTACACGACATGGAGAGTATGATACCAAGATCATGTTAACATATGTACGACATGGAGAGTATGATACCAAGATCATGTTGACATATGTACGTACACGACATGGAGAGTATGATACCAAGATCATGTTGACATATGTACGTACACGACATGGAGAGTATGATACCAAGATCATGTTGACATACGTACGACATGGAGAGTATGATACCAAGATCATGTTGACATATGTACGTACACGACATGGAGAGTATGATACCAAGATCATGTTGACATACGTACGTACACGACATGGAGAGTATGATACCAAGATCATGTTGACATACGTACGTACACGACATGGAGAGTATGATACCAAGATCATGTTAACATATGTACGTACACGACATGGAGAGTATGATACCAAGATCATGTTGACATATGTACGTACACGACATGGAGAGTATGATACCAAGATCATGTTGACATATGTACGTACACGACATGGAGAGTATGATACCAAGATCATGTTAACATATGTACGTACACGACATGGAGAGTATGATACCAAGATCATGTTAACATATGTACGTACACGACATGGAGAGTATGATACCAAGATCATGTTAACATATGTACGTACACGACATGGAGAGTGTGATACCAAGATCATGTTGACATACGTACGTATACGACATGGAGAGTATGATACCAAGATCATGTTGACATATGTACGTACACGACATGGAGAGTATGATACCAAGATCATGTTGACATATGTACGTACACGACATGGAGAGTG